CGTGTTGAACCGTAAGATCAAGAATGCACTACTGGTGTTATACTGCAGCTGTACCTTCATAACGATCCGTACAGTCTATCGCACCGTGGAATACTTTTCTGCAGCGAGTCTGAATACCTACACTGACCTCGAGAATATCAGCCCTGTATTGAAACAGGAATGGTTCTTCTGGTTCTTTGAGGTTGTGTTCATGTACAGCAATACCACTTTGCTGAATGTCTTTCATCCCATGCACTGGCTTCCCCGATCGAACAAGATTTACCTCGCGGAGGATGGCGTCACGGAGATTGAGGGCCCTGGCTATGACGATTCCCGTCATTGGCTCCAAACTCTTGTCGATCCATTTGATATCTACGGACTCATTGTTAACCGAGGCAAGAAAGAGAAGTATTGGGAATCGAATCCGACTCAGAGAGAGGGAACCACTACTAGAATCACTCAAGGGGTATGAGCTCATTTTTCTTCGATGCTCATATTGTTACTCGGGCTCTTACGTTTTGTTTATCTTGTCCTCGTACAATTTGGATCTTATATATTCTGTAGAATATGCATTCACTTGAAAGTCGCAGATATATATATATCAAACAAACATAATCGCGTAGCTCACCAATCTTCTTTTTCTTTACCCTGCTCCTCCTGGATTTCCCAACTATATCGAGCAAACTTGCTCGCCCGACGAATCCGTTCACCATAACAGATAAACACAGGCGGTACTATACAAAACGCAGTTGCCACAGCAGCAAGCACAGACATAGCAACATTATTTCCCAACCGATCAAACATCTGCTTCGTAAACAGTGGAAAGGCACCCGACAACAACGCTCGAACGAATGCAATAGCAGCGGTGGCACTGGCCGAGTAACTCAGATAAGCATCTGAGATATACCCATACAGCACGGTATCCATCTCCGTTAAAGCATAGCCCACCAGAACGAGGGAAATCGTGGGCACAATCCACGGAGTTTGAGTCTCGGGTGGGATAGTCCAGGCAAACCACCACAAACCAATCGCTAGGAATGGACCGCCGAGGCCTAGTCCGATGAGTTTGTATTCTGGCTTGATAGGGCGTCCCTGTCTGCGGAAATAGTTGAGAATGTAGCTGTCTAGCACGCGAGTCAATGCGCTGAGACAACTTCCTACGCCGATGGCGAGGAACATCAGTGAAGCGTCGGTTTTTGCAAATCCCATTGACTCGTAGATGGGTTGGAGGGCTTCCGTGAAGATGTAGATGAGGGACATCGCGATGGAGATCATCATTGCGATGACGAAAATAATGGGCTCTTGGAAGAAGAGTTGGGCTGGGCGAAAGAGGGATTCTTTTACAAATGTATTGAGATCAGGGATATGGTCGTGGTTGAGTGGTGGTGGGATTGAGTGCATAGTAGTCATATCGGTGACCCGCTGCACCTCGTAGGCAAGCAACAAGGAAGGTCGGGACTCTCGAATGAAGCAGAGGCCACCTGTAATTGCAGCAACAATGATGGCGAAGATATAGAAATTCCATCGCCTAGGTAATTGTGAGAAATTTACATAGACCATAGGTCAGGGTTACATACCAATCAAGACCTGCAACAATATAGCTGCTCATGATGGGTCCAAGGATTAGACCAATGTTGGAAGCAACTGTCCAATAATACATGGTCCAGACTCGAGCATGCGAGTTGAACATATCCTCGATGCTGCCACCGATTATGGTAAAAGGTATAGCGGAAAGAAGCCCGGCAACGATGCGCATGAGGATAATAACCGGCATTGAACGCACGAGGCCGATAATCATACAGCAAATGGCACTGAGCCCACTGCTCACAATGTACATGTTCTTTCGCCCAAATGTCTCCGACCACGGTGGAAATAAGATGGTGCCTGCAACCTGGCCGAGAAGAAATCTGTTCAATGTTAGAGATGTATAGTAGATCAAGACCAGCCGATCTCACAATGTGACAAATATAAAAATAGAAAGCGTTTCACTGATATTGTATTCATGTTTGGCTTGCCCAGCAGCTGCCGACTAGAAAGGACCAGAGTGTTAGGTCGGCAATATGGTAGGTCATGAATAGCTGTATACACTCACACCTGCTGTGCTGGATGCTGTTCTGCAAATATTGTTAGCCTGGTGATCAAACAACGTTGGATTTAGTCTGGACGCACATAAAAAGATCCAAGAGACAGATAAGGGCAATATCGTAAGTTTTTCGTAGGCTAGACCAATTTCGAGGATGCCTTGGGTGATCTCGTAGCCATCGGACGTATTTCCCATCTGGGGTAAGCTCAAGAAAATGGTCATGCAGGAGCTCAATGGCTGAAGTTTCGGGCTCGAATGTCCGTAAGGTTGATTCTGAGGAGATAGAGTGCATATTGGGCAACCGGGGAGAAAACCATGTAGAAATAATCATAAAGGATGTTTGACTGAGTCAACCTATCCACAATACATTAGACTTGGGTGAAACTGATCTCTGGAGTGGGATTCGAGCTTTTATCATCTCCGCAAATGTTCCTGCTCGGACATTTTTAATGTAAACCTTGCCCCGAGGAATGGGCACCACCCCTTGCGATCTACACAGTGGAGTTTTTGGAGCTCAGTCCTATAGATACAACGCGTTGGCCACCTAAATTTACCTCAGGAATTTTGCCTATGTTTTACCATATTCCCATCCTCTGATAGCTTGAGTCAGCTGAAGCGTGGTAGATAGTAAATCAAGCTTGATGTTTTGAAATCAAGTCTATACCGAGGAAAGCACTACTATGTCTCTTATTGGCGGTTACATAGGGCGGAGAATGATCACAATTTTAGCCATGAGACATAGTCTAGTGACTGACTTTGCAGGGATAGCCATTTTCAACATTCCTCATGATGATTTCTCCGCGCGCCTTAAAGTTGAGACCCTTGGGATAGTCAGAGATCAAATAGTAGAGCAAAGATATGCTTATGATGTCAGGTTATGTAACTATTGCCTTTCATAAATAACGAGCGAGCCGTGACCGTGATTCAGAGATGATGTCCACGGACGTTCGGTAGGATGGAACATGAACCGCCCTTATATAGCCTGCAAAATACTAGGGCTTGTATGTCTTTGCTTAAATTCTAACACAACAAACAGTATATTTTAGCAAAAGGGAGTCAAAGCTACACAGTGCGGGAAACAGGCATATTCTGAATATCATTAGCTGGATGTACATGGGTATACACTGAAACATATATAGCATACTATCAGCGTCCACACTGAGCAAGCCGATAGCTATGGAGCTATTTGTAGGATATTGCAACATTTTAGCACAGGATTAACTTTGAAGTTACTAGCAGCCTTCTCGGTGGATTCATCGACCTACCAAGAGCCCCGAAGAGAGCACGCATATCCCACTATTGCTCTGATCTGGTCAGCTCAACTTGATATTGCACCTAAATGCACCTATCTGGGGGATAGCACATGTTCTACCACATGTGTAAAGGACCCAAATCCAATACCTAAGATCTTCGTTGCATCCGAGGTAAGTTCAAGGGTATTCTGGCAGATTACTAGATATAGAAGTAGCCCCTGATATATAGTTTGATTAGAGAAGGGTTAAATTTCCAGACCAGCTGAAATTTAATGTATGAACTCACATGTGGTACAACAATATAACTGGTTAATTGTTAGTTACATGGTGGTTGTAGGTTATACCTGCAAGGCGGAAAGCCAGTGGATCTGCGCCAAGGCGATCTCCGACGAGGCCACCTCTCCGCACCCTCTAGCTCTATCAAAACACAACCTAACCAACCAAGTTAGCTGATCATAATAGGTATCGTCTTTATCTACCATTCTGCCAGATAAAAAAATCCCTCAGAAGTATTCCTGACCAAGAACAGACACTATTAGAGCGACCTACCACAACCCTCCCGTCTATCCGTTGATCGCGAACCGCCCACCATGCTATCCTCCCTCTCCTCCAGCATCACAAATGCTCGACAATCAATTGCACAAGTGCTGAATTTTGCGCTGGTCCTTTCCACAGCTTTTATGCTATGGAAAGGCCTCTCGGTCGTGTCCGCATCAAGCTCTCCAATAGTTGTGGTCCTATCCGGTAAACAAAGCTATTTCACGGTGGTCCGAACACAGCTCACATTCCCTTTCCACAGGATCAATGGAGCCCGCATTTCAGCGTGGCGACCTGCTCTTTCTCTGGAACCGAGGCACGAGGGCAGAGATCGGAGAGGTTCTCGTTTACAATGTCCGAGGAAAGTCTATCCCGATTGTCCACAGGGTTGTTCGCACCTTCCCTGAGGTAGAAGGACCTGTGGGCGCAAAGAAGGTGAAGGAAATTACTGTGTATGTTCTTGCCTATTACCTGGCAATTTGCTTTATGACTGCTTCTGTGCTAACGAAGTTCTAGGGACACAACGCCTAACACGCATATGCTCCTCACCAAGGTAGGTGGCCTAACAATCTGACTGACCTAGAAAATTGCTAACATCTCACTAGGGTGACAACAATTCGGCGGACGATACCGAGCTGTACGCCAAAGGTAAGCGATACGAAAAAGTTGGAGCGAGGCCACTTCCGAAGGTTACTGACAAGGTTAGGCCAGGATTATCTCGACCGAGTGGAGGATATCGTTGGCAGTGTTCGTGGCTACATCCCCATGGTTGGATACGTTACTATCATGCTCAGCGAGCACCCCTGGCTCAAGACAGTGATGCTTGGACTGATGGGACTAATGGTGATGATTCAGAGAGAGTAATTGGGTCAAATATACATTGGGTAATAGTAGAAAAGGAACCAAATGCATTAAATATTACATCAGTGAGCATCAATGGATACATATATGTACTGAAGTATCAATTATACCTAGGTCGTGTTCATTGTCATGATGTACATCGATAGAGCGGCGGGCATATCAAAACTTCTCCACTGACGTCTTTTGCCGCGCACCCCACCCGGAGCTTCTAGCTTCGCCGAAACAGCCCCCTTTGTTCTTCTGGCATCTTTCGCACATAGCGTCATTTCCATATTGCTTAACACATCTCTATTTATTCGTTGCTTCAACTTCTTCAAGCGCGTCTTGCACTCACGCGTCTCCCTGCATCCATCCTCAACCTCCCCGCTCTTCTTATCGCCCCGCCAAATCCACAACTGACCACCACAATGGGAAGCATCAAGCGTATATCCAAGGTAAGTGCCCTATATTTTCACATGACCATCATTATCTGTCAGTGTACTGATCATCTATTCCAACTATAGGAGCTGACTGAGCTCACCGAATCCCCTCCGGAAGGGATCACGGTTGAACTGGCCGATGAGTCGAACGTGTACGAGTGGAAGATCACCATGGAGGGGCCTGAAGGCTCACCATATCACGTATGTCAAAACATAATACATATAACACCCCATTTTCCTCATAATATCCCACCAAGGTCCCCAACGGGAGTCCCCTACCCTCGAACCTCACATTTCAAGTCCAACAAACGGCATTTCTAACCTCTTGGCAAACAATATAGAATGGCAAGTTCCTAGTCAAGCTCTCCCTACCCACGGAATACCCCTTCAAGCCACCGACAGTCTCCTTCGCAACGAAAATCTACCACCCGAACGTAACAAACGACGAAAAAGGAAGCATGTGCCTAGGGATGCTGCGAGCCGATGAATGGAAACCCAGCTCGAGGATCGCTGCAGTCCTCCAGTTCGCCCGACAGCTACTATCTGAGCCGATGCCTGACGACGCCGTTGAGGGACGGATTGCAGAGCAGTACAAAAACGACCGGGTGCGCTACGAGGAGGTTGCGCGGGAGTGGACTCGCAAGTATGCTTGTTAATAGCGTTGCTGTACTCTGATTCTAGAATAGGCTGCTCTATTGTGCCTGCATGTATGGAATCCTGGATCATAGATCGAGTTGCCGTTATTTGAGAGTCACCCCGCTTACGACTGAAATGCTGTCATGTTACTTGTAAATTCATCAATGCGAGATTTGATTATCGCTGCTGTGGTTTATATCCTTATGGATGGAACCTGTATCTCTCTGGCGTAACATCAACCGAGAGTTTTTATCCATTTCCCCTTTGGGTGCCTGTTCCGTTAAAAGGCGGTAGTCCCTGTAGATGTTAGTCTTACCTAGTGAGTTATCTTCTCGGCCCAATCAGCCCATTCATGAATCATATACAAGGATTTGGACCGGAATGAATATCGGTTAACCTCACTACAGCAGAAACATGGCTATCAACCATCGATCTACCAGTCAATTTCCTTGCTATTGCTATATTGCACTTCTCGCATAGATAACTTGTACAGGATCCTGATTCACTCCCAACCTCCTAGGTGAGTTGGTGAGTCAAAGGAATCTTTACAGTCATTACAAAAATCGCTGCAATGTGATGGTGAGTTCCTAATTTTGAGAGTCGATTTGGTATTCGTATGAATCTTCGAGTCTTCCGTTAGCGGTGCAAGCATTCGCGAATCGCAACAAGAATCAATGGGATATGGACAAGAAAGCATGCATCGCCGCCTTTCTCAGAAACATGGAGTCAAACTACAACCTCCTGAGATCTCTAGCAGAACAAACCAGTCAGCAAAAGTCTACAGAGTTAATTCTCTACATACCAGTAATTCAGCGTCAATCTTTAAAGCCCAAGATCATTCAGAGCCGAGCGATGAGCTGCCACAAAGAGGCATCTGATACCTTCTGGAAGTTGTCGAAGACGATCCAGAATGCTGCGCTCCAAATATTCCTCTTTTTGCCGAGCTTGTGCCCAAGACTCGAGGTGGAGACCGAGCATAGTCTTGGTCGATATAATATCGGAAATCGGAATCGCTCCAGTTGCCATCATCGCCAGGTTTCTGAATCCCACGGTTTGATTGTAGAGCTTCATCGCCGCCTCAAGGTGGATCAGCTCCTGTAGCTCGTTCTCGAGGTCAATGAACTATTATGATAATGGGTCCGTTAATAGGGTGTCGTATGCTAGGATCTCGTTATACGTACGGATAGTGGTAGGACGAGAGGGATTTTGGTAGACGGCATGGTGGTTTGCGGTGCCGCCATAGTTCCCTTTTGGTGAGACTCGTTGGTAAGAAACGGTGATTGATCTTGGGAGTAACTAGTTCATACCGATGTTTTGGGTTGTGGAGTTGGGATGGAGGATGAGAAAGCAGGATGAAGAAGGATGAAGGAGGAGGAGAAAGGATAATTAAGGAGAACGAAGCTGAGATTGAGGTTGAAGACTGAGGGGCGAGACACCTCTATCTAGCAGAACAAACCAGTTACCAACAATTCACATAGCTAATTCCTTCCATATCAAACGTTATACCACTACGTTCCCAACCTCCCATTTCAAAGAATAACGACCACCCTTCTACTACCAGGACGAGTAATCTCCAAGTTATCAGCCGATGGTCGAAACCCATGCTCGCACAAAGTCGAGTGATTAACCCTCACAAAGGTGCGTTTCATATGACGCGGCAGCCGATTAAAATCCGCCACGATGCTCCGGTGCAAGGATGCCACTTTCGACTTGGCCTGCAGCCAGGACCCTCGGTGGAGATTGAGTTGTGCGGGTGTCGTTGTCGAGTTGTTGATTGCCAGCATAGTTCGGTCGTGGATTCCGATTGCCGTCTTAGTGAAAACTAGTTCCTCTAGATCGCCGTTAAGGTCGAGGACCTGTTATAGTATCAAGTTTGTTAGCAGAGAGGGCTATGCTTGAATTTGATTGTGTGTACCTGTTGTGGAACTTGGGCCAATCGAGTAGAGGGCATGGTAGTTTGCGGTACTGGTGTAACTTCTCTTTGAAGAGAGAGAGAGGAGCAAGACCTCACTTCAATATTTTGGGGTATGGAGTCGAGATGGAGGTTGATGGAGGTCGAAGAATGATGTATGAGAAAAGGAAGGTGTTTTTGAATCAATGGGACGAGCTTTTATGGAATTCTCAGAGAGAACTAAGAGACATGGGAGAGAAGCCCAATGGTTTGCCCATCGAGTGAACCACTTCATGCCCTAGAGGTTATGCTTCGGGATCGAGTTACAACGAAAGAGCTAGGGGGAGAAAAAGTAAATATCAACAAGTACATTTATATCATAACAGAATCCATAGTATAACAACCTACATATGCCTACATACGTATGTACTTCGAGGGTGAAGTTGGCAGTGGAGTGAAGTATACAGCAACATCTTGGTAAGAAAGAAGGACTGATATACGGTCGAGCTAGTAACTACATCGAAGATTGGTGGAATACAATTATCAAACAGAACGTTAAAGTTCATATTCCAGAGGAGCGGTCATAAGGACCGTGATATGGACATTCATTACAGCGTGTCAAAATACAACGCTACATACAACCGGGACGCCCACATCCCCAGGCACGCCCAACGCTTTTTCGGCCGCATGAAGAGAGGATATGAGGGTAATCAAAAGGGGTAAAAAAAGGGAATCAAAGATGCGACATCACAGAGACGTCAACATTTACAGCTGACCAGCAGTGTTGAAGTCGGCAAGGGCCTCCTTGACACGCAAGCTCATGGTCTTCTCACCCTCGCGAACCCAGACGCGGGGATCGAAGGACTTCTTGTTGGGCTTATCAGCACCGTCGGGGTTACCGACCTGGGTCAGGAGGTAGTCCTTCTTGTTGAGGACGTAGTCACGGACACCGGCCAGGTAGGCGAACTGCATGTCAGTGTCGACGTTGACCTTGACGACACCGTAGCTGATGGCCTCCTTGAACTCCTCCTTGGAAGAGCCGGAACCACCGTGGAAGACGAAGAAGACGGGCTTGTCGGAGGAAGAACCGGTCTGCTCCTTGACGTACTTCTGGTGCTTGGAGAGGAGCTCGGGGTGGAGCTTGACGTTACCGGGCTTGTAGACACCGTGAACGTTACCGAAGCCAGCGGCAATGGAGAAGTAGGGGCTGATGGCAGCGAGGGCGTTCTGGATGGCCAGGATGTCCTCGGGCTGGGTGTAGAGGGAGTTGTTGTCAACATCCTCGTTGTTGACACCGTCCTCCTCACCACCGGTGATACCGATCTCCTATGGAAGTGGTTAGCGGTGTGTCGAAGATATATAATTTGAATTCTTTTTGGGCTTGACATACCATCTCGAGCCACTGCTTCATGGGGGCAACGCGCTTAAGGTAGGCGGCGGTGGTGTTGATGTTGTAGTCGACGGGCTCCTCGGACAGATCAATCATGTGGGAGGAGAAGAGGGGCTCGTTGTGCAGCTTGAAGTAAGCCTCATCGGCATCGAGCATACCATCGAGCCAAGGAAGGAGCTTCTTGGCGCAGTGGTCGGTGTGAAGGATGACGGGGATGTCGTAGGCGGTGGCCACGCTACGGATGTAGTGGGCAGCGGCGACGGCACCAGCAATGGAGGCCTTCTGGCCCTCGTTGCTCACACCCTTACCAGCGAAGAAAGCGGCACCACCCTGGGAGACCTGCAGGATAACGGGGCAGTTCTGGTCACGAGCAGCCTCGAGGGAAGCGACAACAGTGGAAGAGGAGGTGACGTTCTAGTGGGAAATTAGTATAAGACTCCAATTGCAAACTTGATTGACATAAGAACTCACGATGGCAGGAATGGCAAAGCCGTTCTGCTTAGCGTACTCGAAGAGACGGAGGACATCGTCACCGACAATGACGCCGGACTTGCGGCTAAGTTGCTCAAGGACACCCATTATGAAGTTTGTACAAAAAGTTTGGTTTGTAGAAAACTGAAAGGAAAGAAGAAAAAGAAGGTCAGATCCAATGGTAAAGTAGTTAAATGTAGTGAAACCAAGCTCCTTACCGGGAGCTGAAAGCGGGCAGAGTTAAATAAGGAGGAGGGGCAAAAGGTAGAGGAGGGGCAAGCGTCATCGGTGAAGGAGAGACAAGGTAGACTCACCGGTGGTGGAGATTTAGTGGAACTGAAGTGAGGTCAGTGTGATTTCAAGAAAAAAAAGAGAGAGACAGAGAAAAGAGATGAGATGATTTAATATAACCTCGTTTATGTATGGCTAGTCCTGGTCTCTTCCCGACCTTCCCCGTGATAGCCCGATGTTGTTGTTTCGGGAGCTATTCAGAGCTTAGGGGAATTATGAGGGGGAATCTCTTTTTTCTTTTTTCTTCTTTTTTCTTTTTTTTCTTTTTTTTAGTACATCTATATATCATGAGATTGAGCTTCTAAGTTTGTAATGGTCACATTTAGAACCATTCTATTACAGCCAATACCAGCTACGATAGCTATCATAGCTATCCCTTGTAATGAGTAGAGAATAACTCATAATAACTCACCCAGATCCCCAAAAAACTGCCCCGAGGAATCCGTGTTTTGTTCGTGGCGGGGCCGAGGAGAGTTCGAGGCCATTCGCTACATTTCCATTTTCCATTACTTTATTCCTTTAGAATTGATGTATTGAGTATTCAATCCGGTTCAAAAGTTATGTATTCAGGTTAATTTTATTGGTTTGCTGAATTCATTCTCCGGTGAAGATGCTAATACTATGAATTAATATACTACATCGTACGTTCTACATACGATAGTACATACGATGTAGACATACGTTGTAGACGTATGTTGGAGGGGTAGTGCAGAAAGTCAAGTGACATCATATGTCCTGCGCCGTTTATCGGAACTTACTATTTCCCTTTCCCTTCTCCGTTTTTCCCATTGGGATTTCACCTATTATTATCTATTATTCCGAGCATTTATTTTATATTTTTTTTTAAATAAATCATCTTTTAATTTGATTCAACCCCATCTGTACAAAAGTACGGGGATATATGTATGTACTGGACTCTAAAAAAAAAAAGAAAAAGAAAAGAAAACGCCCATGCTATCAACCTCCGCTCGCATCGGGCTTCTCCAACTCGTAGAACAAGAGATAGACCTCCCTTTGCATGCCCAGCACGTCTGAGGTCTTACATTCCTTGATCTTCTCGTCCGAAATGCGCCACCACCGATCGTTCGGTTTGCGACGGCGCCGAAGCCGCGAACTGACCCCAGTGGGGGCATCCTGGGAAGGGCGGGGTATGCTGTGGGAGGGCCGGGACGGACTCCAGCGACCTTGGTCTGTCGTCGGGCTGTTGTTATCAGATGTAGGGGACAATGTCTGTTTGGAAGAACGGGAGGTGGTGCTTTGGAAAGAATGACGCGACCCAGAGGTTGTAGGCCGTGGTTGAGGAGGGGAGAGTTGGGTCGCTGAAGCTCCAGATAGTGAGGTCGACGAGCCTGCCCTTGAGATGCTTCCATCGCCGTCGGCATCGGGGCTGCTACGTGGTACAATCCGAGGACTGGGCGCCGCGGAGGGGTTCTGACTGGCAGTGCGACTTTGTGCATAGGAGCTGAAGACCTCGGGTGTGGAGAACGGAGGGTAGATATGATTCCGTCGGAATGACTCGTAGTGCCCGCTGTGGTGGCTACCTTTATGGCAGACAATAGCAAGTAGCTTGTACCATTTTTGGCTCAAGATGCTTCCCAAGGGCAGCCGCTCTGGGAACGAAACCTTGGCCGCGTTCTTGCTCGAACTACTTTGATCAAAGATTGACCGCGACAGGTGGATGGCGATGACCTTCGGGAACGCTGTGATGCGCATATGCCGCGCAATTCTTCGCTTGGGGGCGGTCTCTGACGGAGGGAATACAATGCCCTCCAGCTCGGCCTCGGGGTCTGTCTCCAGAGCCTCGCGGAGGCGGGTGATCTCTTGTTCCAGCCGATCTCGATCGCCTTGTGTTCGGGTACGGGCTAGCTCGGTGGTCTTCGTGTCCACAGCATGCTGTAGGCGACATCGGTCGCAACGGAAATCCTCGATATATTCAGTCTTAAGGAGGCCGTCGAAGCACGAGTTGAGCGTGGTCGAGCTCTTCTGCGGCACCTGCAGTGTCAAGTTGACGAAAGCCGTCTGGTTTGGCTTATATTGATAACGGCAGAACTGGCACTCGATCTGCGACTCCATTTTCCCCTCGAACGGGAATCCAGACTCCTGGTCGATTTCTTTGAGTTTCGTGTCGATGATGGCAGGCAGTCCATTGGCGGATCCATCATCGATGCGCACCTCCACCTCGGACGAGCTTTCTTGTGTGCTGCCCTCTTCGCCTGCCGCGTTGGAAGCAGCCGCATCAATGGCACCCAATGCTCGTTGACGTGCGCGCGCACCAGCATGGTACTCATCGCAGAGTCGCTCGAGAACAATCTGTAAGAATTCCTGTGCGTCCTGCTGATTGCGGCTAATGCGCGTGCGAAACGCGTATTCTAGAGCCTGGATGAAATCGCGGGCTGAGATTGTTTTCTTGTAGATCGGCCGCTCATTCAAGCGGTCTAGCATCTCCTTCAATGCCCGTGTGGTTATCCCCTGTTGCAACTCCCGCAATTTGTCCGACCGCGCTGGCGAAAGTTCATCATCGCTCGGTAGTGTATGGTATATCTCCGGTCCGTCCAGTTGGCGCCGGTGCAGCTCGTGGATCAGGTAGACTCGCAGATCCCCTAACCCGGCTAACGCCTGCAGCACCGAATTGATAAAGCAGTCATTGGCCAAGTTGGAGAGACCTACAATGCTCTTCTTGCGATTGCTGTCGTTTGACTCATCTCCGTCAATTGTGTAGTTCGGCCCAAAGACGTAGAACAGAGCAACGGCGGCAAGCGAGGCCCCGGCCGCATAGGCGGCGACCGTTGTCGGCTTTTCTTGCATCAAGCAATGTGGTATAGAGGAAGGGAGGTTCGTCGGTTCGTGTAGGTGTCGAAACAGGCAGACTTCAATCCCATTACCCCATCCTCGGATTAGCCCGGATATAGGTAAGGGCGTGAGATGTCAGAGAATTGATCACAAGAGAAGCCCAATGTGGGGGCCAGGGTCTTCCGAGGTTGAAGGGCTGACAGATCAATTTTGAGTGCAGAATTGAATAAGTTCGGGGAAGATGGGAGAAGGGGCGAAAGTGGAGCGTTATGCGATTTATGCGGAGAAAGAAACAATGAGCATTTTCGTCCGGAGCCCAAAATCAAGTTAGCCGCAGTCAAACGGGGCAAACTCCACGATCATCCCGACTCAAAGGTGAAGGAAATGAGCACATTCCTGTCTTCGTTTTCGCGTGAGACTCCCATTTCATCCAATGAGGCATTCCTCTTAGCCCGTTGTAGTGGGTTAGACCCCCACGGACGGATTCTCCGGATATCCGTCTTACACATCCCCGCATATAAGGAGGTTGACTGCGGTTACAATGTAGTCTGGGGTAAAGTGAGCCATGTCTTGGAAGATCAGTTTTGAAACATCAGAAATATCATGGATGTCAGAATATTCATGTGTCGGAATTATGGGCTTAGACCTCTTAAAAAGCAACATAAACTTTCAGACGAGTCAACTCCGCTATGTAAGAGCGATTCGCTTGAGAATGAAGCGACTGATTGGTCAAAAACACCTAGACAAGTATTATGAACACTGTTTGAACTTGACTATGTCTGATAGATACACCGCAGAGCTTCTACGGCCGTTCTAGAAAGAAACAAGGAACGATTCACAATATCTTCATCATCTGTCATGCGTCTCAAATTGACTTTTGTAGCATTTCGTGTCTGGAACTATTTCTATCAAATGTACCCAATCATGTAAATGTTTGCGCCATAAAGAGGCCTACTAGCGCAGCAGGCCTAGGCCTGAAGCGACTTAGGCAGGGTAGCAACCTTCTCATCGAAGAGCTGCTCAGCCTGCTTCCAGACCCGAGCGTTGGCCCGGTCATTAAGCGTGAGAAGGCTAGGCAGGAGAGCCTCGCTGAACATCTCAGAGCTCTCACGGGGGAGGAGAGATGGGAGGTGGTCAATGCTGATCACGCTGAGAGGCAGGCCTCCAGCCTCCAGGCCGGAGACGGGAACTGTGGGCTTATCAAAAGTGGTCGTAATGTCGTACAAAGGAATAGGGTTCAAAGGGTTAGAGCTTTTGAGAATTAGCTGTGCGCTTGCTATCATGGTTCATGTCAACTCACGTGTCGGCGCTGACGTCGCAGATAACAGACAGGGTTCGGTTAGGGGCAGAGAGAGACTCCACGTTCACGAAGGCTAATGCAAAACAAAGGATATCAGCCAATTGAGTCGTCACCAGAGGATGCATGTATAAAATTACCTGGAATCTTAGCCGAGAGGTAGATGCAGTTCACGAAGATATCCGCCTCGTGTGAGATTTCCTTGAAAGGACCACCTGTGGATGTTAATTTATGATCTCGGATTAGATTGACGAGGCTCGAAATAGTAATTGACTCACCTCGGGCAGTCTCTGCCATATCCCACTGAATGATGTTGGACTCGGGAATACCGACATCCTTGGCTAGCTGTACGGCACCGCTGCCACAGCGTCCGAGCTATAGGATTGTTAATATGTATATCGCTTTCCGTATATCTGCGCAGGACTCACAGCTCCAATGACAAGGATCTTAGGTGCCTTTCCAGCGATCTTCTTGCCAGCCTCGAGCGACTCCTTAACAGACTCGACCAGACGGTCTTGGTTGGCATATGGTACCTCACCAGGCAAGGTCTCGTTGGGGTGTGTCAATTGCCAAGCCCAGTTCTTCACAGCCAAAGCGGATCCTGTTCCACGTCTTAGTATTGATTATGCCAAATAACGAGCTTGACATATAGATACCTGCGTAACCGGCGGACCATCCGAAGGCTAGTAAACAAAAAAAAGGTCAGTCTACTGAGTCAAAAAAAGAACAATTAGGGACATGACTCTTACCAGCAACTCGGCGTCCGGAATCATCAGTCAAGAATTCCAGGTCAAGCAATGTGCCCTTGCCGCGAGACCAACGACTGAGAACCTTTTCCCAGCCGCCCTGTTGCTTGAAGCAGTGTGCGAAAGTGACGTGGACGTGCTCCAAAGGAAAGTCATCCTCTGGCAGCTCCTTGAGACCCAGAATGATGGCATCCTTAGGGGCATCCTGGACCCAGGATCCTTCCTCCACCAAAGGCGCACCAATCTATAATAATCAATGATGTTTAGGGCGGGTTCGAGCTGTATTACCGATTGAATCATACCTTGGAGAATTCCTCATCTATAGAACGGAATCAGTCATCGAGTCCAACAGCAAGGGATGCGGGGAGGATGGGTGATATGGGAAATTGGACGTACCGTCGAAGATACGCTGAGTTGACCGCTCGACAGTCACATCATATCCAGCATCGATCAATGCCTTGCAGGTAGTTGGGGTCACTAGATGATGTATTAGCCAATTGCTTCCCCGCCATTGTGGGCTGAAGCTACTCACAAGCAGACCGTGCCTCAGCGGGCTTGGTCTCAGCGCGCAGCCAAATCTTTTGTCCAGCCATTTTGGAAGTAGAGAATTAGAATATGATGAAGAAGAAGGGAAAAAAAAACCAAACAAATATTAATTGCTCTATCACCAGTAATGACACAGACTTTCCCCTCCAGTAATAAGCGGGGATGGCAATGGTTATTCCGCTCCGAGGAATGACTCAGTCCCGATTATCGGCCACCTGAAACTCAAACCTCCGAAAGAGCCGTGGGCGTTAGCATATTATTTGAAAGCATAACTGGTGCTCTAAAAATAATATTGACATGGGGATAGAGCGGAGAGTAAGGGGTGATATGGTTATGTCAATCAGAAGTTATGGGACATGGCAGATGCCTATACATACTACCTAGTACGATGTACAAACAGTTCCTTTTCTTAAAACATCATACAAGATCAAGCATATAAGGGAAGGATATTCTGTAGTCCAAGGGTTCTTGAACTTGAAGCCTTTCCCACCCAACTTGGTCAAGTAAAATATATTCTTCTTATTGCAGCGCGTGTACAACCACAACCATGAGAAGTCCCGGACATGAATAGACACGATTCAAAGGTGGAGCAAACATGATGGCATGGAAGTAACACAGTAAAGCTACAAATATAGGGTCTCGACCTGTTCAAGCACCCTTTGTCCGGCTGCGAGTCCGGCTACCAATACCATCTCCTGGGATAACCTTGTTCACGGCATCCTTAATCTTCTCCTTCTTGGTCCGACTAGCCTTCTTCTGTGCTCCGTTCTCTGTGTTGGAAGGAGCAGCAGTAGCGGTGCCATTTGAATCTGAGGCAGGCTTCTCATCTGTATTCGGTTTCTCGTCCGTCTTCAGCTTCTTGGTATCAGGCTCATCCGACGGTTCAGGCCTTTGTTGCTCCTCGTCCTCAGCTAGGGCTGGAGTGGGCGTCAAAGTCGAATCAATGTCACGTTTCTCGCCCGCCACTGTCTCATCCTTGGGCCCTTCTGAGATTTGAGACTGACGGGCAATGGGAACACTGCCGGGAGCAGGCTCTGTGGGCTCTGTCACAGGCGGCTTGGTTTCTGGGGTAGGGTTGGTTTCTGGGGCGGGCTTGGGTGCCTCAAGCTCTGTCTCTGCCTTCAGCTGATTGGTGTCTATATCGGGCTTTGCCGTTTCAGAAATAGGTGGACTATCTGTTTGAGTTGTGTTTAACCTGTTCTGGAATGCATGCGAGTGTTCTTTGACTAGCTGGGCAGTCTCCCGATCTGTTATATCCTTTAGTCAGCATCTGGCATGCATCTGGACAATTTACAAGCGACCAGTTAAAGCAACACCACCCTGAAACCATATTTGAGAAAACAATTAAGCCGCTTAAACCAATTACTCCTTGAATTGTGTAGCAGTGCATGTGCGGATAAACCACGTACCTGAAGCTGCACTCCGCACGGGGGCTGAAGAAGAAGCCATTGTGGATCGATGATGTCAGATGCCGGGACAGTGTGTTTTAAATTGGTAAAGATTGAGTGGGAGGGTATTCGTTGAAGCAATGCGACTGCAATTCTTGCTTAGGTGAATTTGTACGAGGGAAAAAGAACCAAAGAGAAGTCAGTTGATTTGGGGGAGTATGAGGTGAGGTCGCGCGGTGACGTACTTGAGACTACTGGAGACGCTGCCCCCGGCTGATTCGCCGCTCCAGCCCTCTACCTCTCCACGGCATTCTGTCACACAGCCTCACGAGCTCCAGAATTATAATTGCCACGCAATGTTCTCCACAAGAGGTAGCTGTGGGCACCACGGGTTTGTGAAAGGTTAGTACTCGACCACAAAAGGCTGTAAAACTTATCATTAGCTAGGAAGGTCTGTAGAGATGTTTAGGTTATGCGCTTCATTGAGCCCAAATGGCTTGCTTGTCTAGGAAACTGGCTGAGCCACTATTGACAATGGGTGTTATATATATCGGAAAAAAGAGGGCTTTCGTATATTTGGTATAACGAAGAGGCAAGTATGAGGATAATCCATAGTATTCAGGTGCATCACACACCTCCAATGCTGGTTTAGCTGGGTCTTTCTTGCAACTCAAATCCCCCATACAACTTGGCAAGGAATGTATGCACGACTGCCAAGAAGCAAGAAGATGAGGCTCTAACCTGGGATGAAGTAGCGGCAGTGGATTTCCTTCGTGCGGTGGTTGGGAAAATGAAGGGTTGTCGAACAACCAGGCTGAAGTAATTTCAATTGTGTAATAGTACACAAATGAACTCAGGGGAATTGTGTCCTAGCAGTGTGCCGGCATGACTGCAGCGATCCTGCCTATGATCACCTCTTATGGTATAAACATAGAGAAATGTGTATGCCTGATGGATGCTTGTGTTGGCTTAGATGCTCGTAAAACATCCTAGCTAGGTGTGAGAGTAACGTGGTTGTGCAATAGGTTTGGAACCAGGGAATCATGTAAAACTCCAGTTCAAACGACCGAGATGTTCCTCTTCAGACGATACATGTGACTTTTCATCAACTGGAGCTGGAGCTGCCGGTTGTTCAGGTAGCAGCTCTGAAATATGTTCCTCCAGCCGGGAGATATCACGGAACCTCTTCCGGTCAATGAGGACGCGGAGAGCCTCCGAACCAATCTCGAAGAAAGCATCGCGCCTAACTTCATTCCAAGCCTGGAATTTGCTCGGTGAGAGGTTCGCCACGAATTGGAGGAATGGGCGTGGATCAGGATTTGTTGGGTGACAGACAGCCACAGATGCTACCAGTAAGGACCGAGGAGACAGCACAGAGACCGTATCCTTAAACTGGTCGTACACTAACGTTGATACCTGCTCACTAGATGGTTTGTGCTCCATGGCCATGCGAGTTAGATGAGCACCTGCAGCCAGGAGCATCGGTTTCCTTGACTTATGGGAAGAAGCACTCTGGAAATGCATCTGGCATACACTCAGGTAATGTGCCATCGCTGAGCCAAAGCCATTTCCAAAGCAGGCTTCTGCATCTATAAAATCAACAAGGAGATGATTGAAGGTCTGCCGCGCGAGCCCTTCAGTCATCCGGCCATTCTGACTACCTAGATCATGGCTCATGAGCATTTGCAACCACTGCATGACAGTACTGTGCAATCCCTCTGCCACCATAAACTTGGTCAATGATGTAGTCGCTGAACGTGAACGTAGAAGCATCTGCCTCGATGTGCCATCTGATGCCCAATACCAATCAACGATTCTCGATGCCACCCGAGATGTACTCATATCGGCCGGGGATCTGGAAAGAAGAAGTTGAGACTTCAGACAATCATTGATTGCAAGTGGAGTGACTGAGCCAGCTGCAGCCATTTGATCAAATACTGCCATGGGTTCTTCGGCTAGCCGTCGCTGGCCCTCAATGCTTTGCAATGTAGTAGGTTCCTGTGAAATGGGTCTGGTTGGAATGATACGGAAAAGAGGGTTATCGAGAATGTTCTGCAAATGCTGATCGGTTGCATGCGCTGATGATTCCGGGTTGGAGAGAGGTCGGCCATGATTGTTGCCTGATGCGGGATAAGCCCCATCTAGTTGGCGACGAAAGGAAGATGTCAGGGCATTTAGCAGTTGCTGAGACTCTCGTGGAGTACGAGGTAAGGGTTGATGGATTTTGGGCCAGGACTTGAACTGAAAAATGGATGTACCCTTCATGATGATGAGAGTTATAAAGTTTCGGGGTATGCCTATGTAGGTATGTTGGATGATGCATCGAGGTTAAAGAGGGAGGATCGACGAGGGCGGTGAAACAAGCCTTGTCTGGTCTGTCCCCCTTCCAAAGGGCGGAAAAAAGGTGAATGACGAGTAGAAGAAACCAAGAGAAAAAAAACCACACTGACATAAAAAACAATTTACCCAAAATTCATCTCCATGCAATTAGTAGAATATAATTAAATGACTATATCTAGGAATACAGTCCAATATAATTATTTTAAATCAAGAATACCTTAAATAACAGTGTAAAAAGACTGAAGTAGAGATCCCTTTGTTACTGTAAATTCCCCCAGCATCCAATAAGCGCCACTCGCTAAAAGCCAGGCAACGCCAAGACTTGAAGGGAAGCAACTCAGATCCCGTTAGCTTTTGATCCTTTCTTCAATCTTGTCATCTCCTAACGCATTCTCTCTCTCCCCCCCAATTAATCTCTTTGATTTTACCTCTTCTTTTCGTCTCTTCTGGCCCCCGTGCCTGTGGTTCTGGTGCTGTTCCTCTTCTGCGAGGGTGCTCCACTTCAATAGCCTTTCCTTGCGAATCGTGACCTCCTTCCTCCCTCAATACTTCTCCATCTCACACATCTTCATCAATCAACATGTCCGATATTCAGAACCGATCCTCCGCCTCGCGGGGTAGAGTATCCGCCCGTGGTGGCCGTGGCGGTTTCAGCTCCAGAGGTGGTCGTGGTGGAAACAGATCTGCAAATGACAACTCAGACATCTCATCCTTTGAGGAGGGTGAAATTGGACAGATGAAGAAGAAGTACTCCGACACTCTCCCAACCCTTAAGGAAATGTTCCCAGACTGGAAGGACGAAGATCTGGTGTTCGCACTGGAAGACTCGAACGGCGAGCTCTTGGAGGCAATTGAGCGCATCAGTGAAGGTCGAGTTCCCGTCAACCCTAATCCTCCCGACTCGAAATCAATCGAATCTTGTGATTCGAGGACCGTGACTGACTGGCTTTGCAGGTAATGTATCTCAGTGGGGTGAGGTCAAGAAGAAGACCACAGACCGGACTCGCCCTAAGCCCAAGGAGGCCCCGAGTGCCTCGACCGAGACAACCGCAGCTTCCGCTCGTGGAACCCGTGGTCGCGGTGGAATAGAGGGTCGTGGACGTGTTCGCGCAGACCGGGGCCGTGGTGGCCGCGGAGGTCGTGCAGGAGCCACTACAAATGGAACTCGCGTAGTTTCCACTGCTGTAGAGACTCCAGCGCCTACTGCTATTCCTACTGTCACATCGGAGTGGGCTGCGCCCAAGGCAGAGGAGACCGTTGCAGAGCCTTCAGCCGAGGGCGAATCAGAGTCGACCGAGGCTAAGAGCAGTGTGATTCCTGAGGGCACAAAGAAGGGGTGGGCGAGTCTTTTCGCCAAACCACCCGCTCCTCCGGTGCAAAAGAAGCCTCAACCCGCTCCTCCTGTTCCCGCTGTCGAGAAGCCCGCTGAACCTGTGGCCGAGCCATCTCCCCCCCGCCCCCGCTCCTGAACCTGTAACTGCGCCCGCTGCCTCCCAGAAGACACCCATCGCCAAGCCTACCCACCCCGTGATCCCTGCCATTCCGACCGCCACCGCTGTTAACCCTCCCAAGGGCGATTTGACCGAGACGAACCTCGAACAAATTCCCGATGTATCCGCTCCCGCTCCCACCGCCACCGCCGCAAGCACCATTGGAAGTGGTGTCGACCCCGCGGCCGCAGCTGCTGCTGCTACTACTCCCTCCCGCTTCCCTTCGTCTGCCTACCCTCCCAGCGCTACCAAGCAGGGCCGTACCCCAGGTCTTCAACGCCGTGTTATGGAACAGCAGCAGGCCGTGGTCATGCCCGGCAACCACGCAGTGGACCGTGCTGCGGTTCAATTCGGCAGCATGGGACTGAACGGTGATGCTATTGATATTGATGAGAACCGCGAGGAGGCCGAGACCCGCGCTCAGCCCCCGCAGCACTCCCCTGTTGCTCCCCGTGCCTCTCTTCCACCCGCGACCCAGACACCCCACTCGATGGAGACTGGTGCCGCTGGACGTCCTGCTCCTGGTTTGCCTCCGGTCCCCCAGGGCGCTTCTGCCGAGTCATTCACCGACTTCGCTCGTTACTCTGAGCCCCAGCAGAAGCCATTCGATCCGTTCACACAGCCGGTGAGCCAGCCGCAGCCGCAGATCCCTGAGCCGTTTGCCAACCAGGCTCCTGCTCAGCCCACTGCCACCACCGGCAGCGAGTACTCTCCTTTCTACGCTGGCGAGCAGCAGCGTTTCCCCTACTACGGCTCCTACGGCTCTTACGGCCAGTCCCAGGATACCCCCGCTGGTCCTCGCGCTGCAGCTGGGTTTGGTGTCTCTGGTGCCGAGGCCCAGGCTCAGATTCCCACCACGCAGCCTCCCAACCGCTACGGCCCTATTGACGCCACTAACAGCGGACACAACACTCCCAACCCGACCGTCCCCGGCGCCACTCAGCAGACCCCCGCTGCTCAGCATATGCCTGGCCAAACTGCGCAGCAGCACGCATATGGCTACCAATACCCTAACTACTACAACAACCCCCACTACGCTTCCTACATGAACCAGATGGGCCAGCAGCAGCAACAGCAGCAGCCGCAGTACGGTGGCGGTAACCGCCCGAGGTACGATGATGCTCGCCGGTATGAGGATCACTACATGCAGCAGCAGCAGCACAACCAGCAATACGGCTATGGTAGCCAGTATGGTCCCTACGCCGGTAAGGGTGGCATGTACGGCCAGCCCCACGGTGCTTTCTCCTATGACCAGCAATCATCTTCCCCCGCAAACACCGGTAGCTTCAGCCAGGCCATGCCCAGCCGCGACTCTGTCTACGGCCGCACTGGATCTGCCCAGCAGTCCGACAACCAGTCTGCCACTGGTGCCAATGCATTTGGTACCGGAATGTCCGATGTTTTCAGCCGTTCCCAAGGCAGCTTTGGCCAAAACCCTCCCATCGCTGGACAGCCCCCCGTTGCCGCTGATGAGACCAAGGGCTTTGAAGCCCCTAAGGCGGGCGGTCCTAGCCCCTCCCTCGCCCAGAACCGCCCGGGATCCGCTACCAACAGCGCCCCCGGTCAGCCCCAGGCACAGACTGGTCTCCCCCACTTCAGGGTCAGCAGGGTCAGCAGTCCTTCGGTAGCTACCCTCAGCTGAACCCCCAGTACGGTGGACTCGGAGGACTCGGTCACCAGGGCGCGGCCACCCAGGCTCACCAAGCCTCTGCCTATGGTAACAACTACGGTGGAAGCTTCGGTACCTACTATGCAAACACTAACCGTGGCGGCTGGGGTGGCAACTACGGCCACTAAAAAGATAAAACGAAACGAAGGGGAGACATAATGACCCACCAAACACATATGGCGTTGCATTTACGGATGATTTGAAAAGGGGGTTGGTTTTTTTGTCCACTTTACAGGGAAGGAAACCTCGTGTCTTGTCAAAAACGACAGACATAGCCCAGGCACCTCTTCGTCTTTCTCTCCTCAACATCTGTGTAATCTCTACTTCTCTTTTTTTGGGGAGCTTGGCTGGTTTTTTTTTACTTTGGGGGATTGTCTTCTTGATGTTTGTTTGTTTTCTTTCTTGTTTCCTTGCCTTTTCTCTCAGCCGTCTTGCTCTTCTTTGCTACCACTGCTCCCATCTGATGCGGTCTCTGTATTAAATTCACCAATTCCTCTCTAGGTTTCTCTGTTTTTTCTTTTTGTTTTCTCGCTATAACCTAGTCGGTGTCTATTTGGGTCCGGTGTGTCACTTGTTTCCGCGGACGGTTTTCCAGTTTTTTTTTTTTTTTTTACTACCTACTTCTCTCTTCTCTTGTTCTGTCTTTATGCCTCCTCGCCATGTGCAATATCGGTCGATGATTATGATGTATGGCTGAATGGGTCTAGTAGAGGTAGATCCAATGCTCAGTTGCGTTCTGGGCCAAAAGTGTCATGAATTATGTATGTCCTGTACGATCCAGTATGGCACCTAAATATGGAGACTGTTCTAGTATCGTTTGTACACCTTGGCATTGTAACTCTTGTAGTCAAAAGAGAGTATTAGACATTTGTCCTTCACGCCGCATTTTGCTTTTACATGTACCTTCCTTACGATCAAGATGTAAACCACCAATATAATTGAAGATACCATATCATTAGATGGAAAGGGTGAGCCGCCAAGTCCAAGCATATAAGCAAGTGCACGGCTTTGGCTTCAACCTGGACTGGGAACTATGTACAATCGAAATGCAAGATGACACGGTGCAGAATAGGAATCCAAAAAGTCAAATCTATGTGGTACCGACAAGGCCCCAAGACAAATTCAGATGAGCCAAAGAAAATTATCCAAGCCCAGAGGTAATCTAAGCGAGGCCGAGACCTTCGCCGCCAACCTTGTGGTAAGGCGGCTTAGCTCCAGCAGCCTTCTGAGCATCGAAGCGCCAGACACCACCAGTCCTATCGGAGTCGAACAAAAGATCGGCCGATTGGGCAAGACGCAGGGTCTGGGCGTCGTCGGCGCTCTCCTCAATACGGTTGAAGAAGCGGCGCTCCCACTCGTGGCCTGCCTCCTTCTCAATGCGGCGCTGTTCGCGCTGAGCAGTCTCAATGCGCGACTTGTATCCAGAAACGGCATCCATGTCCCCCTTCTGGATGCTGGCGGCTACGTCGCTCCAGGCACGTCGGCTCTCGTACAGATCCTGTTGCTCGAGGGGAGCCAGGGCGAGTGGAGTGACGGGGTTCTCCTTGGAGTTCCACGAGTCGACGACCTCCTTGGTGCGGGCGTCCTTGATAGAGAACTTGTCCGACCATTGGCCCTCTACAGTGTAAAGGGGCTTCTTCTCACCCTCGCTCTCCTTGAACAGGCTCGCGGTGAAGGTGTTCTTCTTGCCGCTCAGCCAGCCCTTGCCGGAATAATCAATCTTGGCGACATAGCCGGTGCTGCTGACGATCTTGGTTGACTTCTCCAGTTCGACGAAGGGTGAACCGTAGATCAGCGACTCGATGTGTAGGCTGGGTAGCGTGATCAGGTATTGCTCCTTCTCGTCGGATCCGGGAGGGGTGATAGTGTACAACGCATGGCCAATCTGCTTTACGAGGATAGTGCTAGAGAAAGAGGCCTTCTGAGCGTTGTATCCTTGCAGCTGTGGTTGTGTTGTCAGTTATTGGCATCTCTCAATTGCTTGGAACAATATTTATGCACTCACCTCAACACCGTTCTTCTCATTGCGGATCGCGTAGGCTGTGACCGGAGGGTGGTGGCTATGATTCAATCAGTGGGTTGTGGTTCCAAACAGAAGTAGTCCCGCATACCTGACTTGTTCACTGACCAAGGCAGTCTCCCCCACTTCCGCGTCACCCGCCCATTTACCGATAAATAGCTCTCCCAGGAAGGGGTTCAAAGGCTTCTTCTCACTGCCGAGCTTCTCGCTACGGCTGCAGTACTGCTGGTGCAGTGTGCTAAGGAACCACTTGAGAACCAGGAGAGCACGCTTCGCAGGGTCGGCCTCCTTGGCTGGTGCCACGAAGACGGCGGGGTGTTCAGCCCAGTAGGCGGAGTATTCGGTGAGGGAGGTAGTAGACAGGATGAAGGGAGGAGCAGTCAACGAGGATAGATCACCGTTAAAGGAGGCAATCGACTAGAAATTTGTTAGCTTAGTATACTCAAAACATATGATCCTGCATGCCTTTAGGAAACTTGTCCATGAGCCCTTGCTATTGGGGGGGACCTGGCTCTGAGAGGACATATTTAATAAGAATGAATTCTTAAGCTATCAAATTGGACTCGGAATCTCCCAGAAAAAAGACAAGGAGTGTGGGGGAGGTGGAGGGACGAAGTTGGTCGTTGGCGGTCAGAAGCGGATAACGTCATGGCAGGGGCTGTGTCTTTTGTGAACAGCCACAACGCCGAATTGGGTAGTTTTCCAGATGCTCCTTTGGAAGGCGATTCATTGTTAGATGATGCATACATATATATACTGACATGAAACATGGGAAAGACTCTTTAGTGACCATCTCTCACTAGGGCCAATGCTAGACTATAAGATGGGAGCTTAGACTTGAAAACTGTCAGGATTCTTCTTCAAGGCATGATTTTCCGAGTTATAAGATTCTAAGAGGTTGAGGTACGTTTTCGTTCATTTTCCATGTGCGCGGGAGTGCTCCGCATATACTCCGTACGGAGTAACCGTATCTCCCTCATAGACCTACCCTCGGTAGGCCCGGATTCTTTTCCGCTCCTCTGCCCTACTCGGCAACCCTACCCGTCTTCTCTCCGAATCATATTGGTCCGTCGCCTCTAGATTGGGCAGGATGGACCCTGAGAGATGATAGCAAGCCCTCTGTTCGGGGGCTGCTGGCCTCTAGAACGCTACATCGGAAGCAAGCCGCCGATCCTGCCAGATGATAGGGAAAAGAGGCATTGAAATTTCTCTTTTATGACTCACGCTTTAAGTCTATGTATCTCGTTGCTGTTGACTTGATTAGACTCAATTCATTAATTTCCATTTCTTCGCTTTTTGTTACAATTGAAGACCTTTCTGCGCATCTACGCATATATCCGACGAGCATGATCACGGAAACAAGCCGAACTTAAGAAAGATCGCAGAGATTTATTTTTTCATATTTTTGCATTTGCCCTACGAGAGAGATCTTATTTACCACAAGCTAGTAGGCACTGGCTCTTGATTCCAACCATGTCTCCAACTGCCTCGAAGGCTTCCAGCGAGGAGAGGCGGTCTCAATCCTCGGTGGATGAATCCGAAATCCAGAGAGCTCAATCCCGGCGTTCACAGCGAGAAGGAGCTGTTAATAGTCTTGACCACGTCCGAAGCCATGTTTCGCATCATGACATGGTTGCCAATGATGACTTTCAAGAGGTCGATGCGGAACAATATCTACGCTTTTCACCTGCCCGCAAAATGATTATAGTTGGTGTCCTGTCGTTCTGCTCTTTCCTAGCGCCCATCTCCTCCACCTCTATATTGGCTGCTATACCTGAAGTGGCAAAGACCTATAACACCACAGGAAGTGTGATAAACGCGAGCAATGCGCTATATATGGCATTCATGGGCATCGCGGCTCCCTTCTGGGGGCCCTTTAGTCAGGTCTGGGGGCGACGTCCGGTAGGTAACGAGCAGAAGTTTATCTTGAAGTAACAAGCTAATTGAGAGTAGGTCTTCCTTGTGAGCGCGTTCTTGTTCTTTGCGTTTAGCATCGGCACGGCTCTAGCACCCAACCTCCCAGCATATTATATTTTCCGCATCTTGACTGCATTTCAAGGAACATCATTCTTGGTCGTTGGGAGTTCAGCGTTGGGTGATGTATACGAGCCTCGAGCACGGGCAACGGCATTGGGGTGGTTTTTGTCAGGAACCCTAATTGGGCCAGCCTTTGGGCCATTCATTGGCGTACGTCTACTATATAAATACAGCCCTGAGACAACTCGCTGACCTACAAATATAGGGTGTGATCGTCACATTTCGCTCATGGCGAGTGATCTTCTGGCTCCAGACAGCTCTTGGAGGCTGCGGCACGCTCCTCGTCTTCTTCTTCTTCCCCGAAACCTACCCGCATCTGACTAAAGGCGATATGGCTGAAAAGACGACGTGGCAAAAGACCAAATACCTTTGGCACCGGATCTCTCCCCTCCAAGTTGCTATTATGCTATTTAAATATCCCAACCTCTTCTGCACAGGTCTCGCTGCCGGCGCTCTCGTCTGGAACCAGTACTCTCTCCTGACTCCGATTCGATACGTACTCAACCCACGCTTCCATCTCACCAGCCCTATCCAGACCGGGTTGTTCTACATCGCGCCAGGCTGTGGGTATCTTGTTGGCACACTCATGGGTGGAAGGTGGGCAGACCATACTGTGAAGAAATGGATCGCCAAGCGGGGTGGTGTCCGAGTCCCCGAAGACAGACTGAAGTCTTGTCTGATATTTTTGGGTGGTGTCATCCCCGGCTGTATCTTGATCTACGGTTGGACGGTCGAGAAGGCGGTTGGTGGAATTCCAGTCCCTGTCCTTGCGATGTTCTTCCAGGGAGTGGCGCAGCTGTTCTGCTTCCCTAGTCTGAATACCTACAGCCTGGATGTTATGCAGTCGAGCGGCCGGAGTGCCGAAGTTGTCGCCGGTAGCTATCTGGTACGGTATGTGTTCGGTGCTCTGGGGTCTGGACTTGTTCTTCCGGCGGTAGAGAGTATGGGAGTGGGGTGGTTTAGTACCATCAGCGCCCTGTTTTTGGTTGTGTCTGGGGTTGGTGTATGGCTCACGACTGTTTTCGGCGATCAATGGCGGGATAAGGTCGACAAGAAGAGCCAACGGAAGGGCGTGGAGAACACCGAAAAGATACAGGAGGGCAAGGCAAAGGCTGAGGCTTGAATGTTCAATTTTGGAATATTTCAGTGGGGGAGCCCTTGTAAGGCTTAATGATAGAATGCTGTTATGATAAAAATAAACCAAAAGAGAGGTTGAGAATAGTAACTCAAGCGTTTCCAAAATATATACGTTTAATCACTCATCAAAGTGCCCGCGTGCTCATTCTGTACTTCGAGGACATCTTCGTTACGAACAGGTTGCTTCCCCTTTGTGATATTATTGGGATCTAGACCACTCTCAGCCATGAGACGGTCTATCTTGCGCTGCTCGGTGAATTTCCGACAGTCTTCACGACCCTTTTTGATGTCTACAAAGCAGATAGCGATCATTGCCCCGGCGCAAATGGCGAACAAAAATGGGAAGCCCATCCAGTTGTTGTGGGTATTGTTAATGATGGCTTGAATGACATTGGGACCGATGATCGAAGACTAGCAAGGTTAGTGAACCTGAAGGAAATATAGCACCAAGGACATCCGACCTACCGCACGATTAGTTATACCAAAAAGCGCGAAAAACATATTATCGTAGCCGCGTGGCATTAGTTCGCTGATCATAGTTTGGGCGTACTGGTATAACGTTAGAAATAAAGGGCACATGAATCATGTTGGGTACCATTCAAATTTCCACCTACTGCATAGTATGGAGCCTGGAAAAGCCCGAATATGACATTGTAGAAGTAAAATTCCCACTACGTGGCTGTTAGCTGTAAACTCTCAGCTTGGGGTTGATACATACCCTATTGTGATATCCGATGCGATTAGTCCATAGTCCCAGCATCCCCCAAAAGGGGATGAGAACGCTGAAGGAATTGGTGAACAAAAACATGGTCTTCGTCTTAAATTTGAAGTACCGTTGTATATACCAAAAGCCGAACGTTGAAGTGATCGAGCAGGCAGCTTGGGTAATACCGAGATATGTGATCTGCAAGAAAGAAAATGAAACAGAATCGTTTTGGATAATGCTGACGAGGGTACCTATTGAGGTTAGTATATTTTTGTGTCTACATCGATGGGTGTGGGTGTAGCGAGTCTCATTTGCGACAAGCCAATAAGGAAAGACCCTACCGGTAGTGTTGAGTCCATCGGCAAGAAGAAAATAGGCAAAAAAGTATAGAAATGTCTGTGGAAGAGACCTGATTTCTCGAATGGCCAACCAGATTTGTTTAAACCCGATGGTGGAGTAGCTTGACCCCTTTGGTATCTTCGGACCTGGCCTTGGCTGCTGGAAAATGAACCACCAGATGCCAAGAACGACCCAATCTGTAGAAGGTCAGATAGTTCGACTGTTTATGGGATTGCTCAGAAAGCTTACATGAATTGGTAAGACATAGTGCCAAGTTATTCGAGAAACTGTTATTCTGTAGTGGAAGTAGAACGCTCAGATTAAGCACAAGCGTGAGGAGGTATCCAATGTTGCTGTGTGCAGTTGAAATGTTGCTACTATTGTTAGCGGAATGTTAGATAGGAGCTCAAAAGGACTAAACTCACCTAATATGATTCCTCTCCAGTGATTCAATAGTATCGTATTCCTCCTGGTCTATCTTTCCTTCTCTGAGATCCTCTTCTCTCGCTTTGCGCACATGCGGCGTATACCGCGCCAGACGGGGAAATACAGCAGCGTAGAATACTAACGTTGCACCGTAGGCAATGTATGCCACAACGTACAGGCCCATCGCTGTTGGCCACTGACTCGGATTTCGGATGGACATCATGCCATACTGTAGTGCCCAGCAGACCACCGTTAATGCTAGAAGAAGCCATCGGCCGAATGTTCCGTAGTCCGCAGCACTTCCTAGCCAGACGAATATCACCGTCATGAAAGTGAAGCAAAGGCCATTGGCAATAAGAACCACCGAAGATACGGACCGCGTACCTCCCGCCCACGGCACTACACATGCCGATGAATCGGTGCAGGCTTTGGGTGGATTCGAGCCAGGTTGATATCCGGCACCATTTAAGGCCCACTGGAAACTTCACGGGATTAGTCGGGGAATTCTGATGTTTTCCATTGTACCTACAGGGCTTGGCTGTAGGAACCCGGTCCGACACCGTTATCTCCATTGTAATAGAGGTAATATGACCAAAGTTCTTTCCTAGTGGTGGTTGGCTGTTCATACGCATCCTCGTCGACGCCGAAGAGCCGTTCGTATTCCTCCAAGGTGGAATGTGGCTGTGCGGCCGAGGTCACATCGACAGTCGCGTCGTTTTTCGTATCATTTTCATGTATGTTCGCCATGTCGGGGATGTAAGTTGGACAAGATATTCCTTACATAGTATATCCCGGGATATATGTTCCAGTTTCTCTCACATTCAGGTTACCCCGCATCTGTCGAACTTGCCTTATCTTCTGTTACATTCAAATGTTCGTTGGCAAGAACATAATTGATCAGGTAGAGTCTAAGAGGTTATCTAACTAATCTCCCTGAAATGTCTAAGTGTTCCAGGTGTAAGCGCAATGTTGCAGTTGCATCAGGTGGATCCGGGTCAACTCCAATTCCCTTTCAACGTCACCCCGATTTACTTGACCTAAAGAATAGGATTGAATATTATAAAAGCTCTTTCCGTGTATCGCTCCAAGTAATAGAACAATTCAAGAATTTCTTGGCCGGTATATTTGTTGTACCAAAGAACGTCTAAGTGAAGATGAGCGTGAGAACCATGAATGATTGTGCCGATTCTTTGGAGGATTTGAAGAATTTATAAAAAAAACTTAAACCATGTTGAGTGATCGAAATAAGATTAAAATGCTGATTTTGTTCCATTTCCCCTCTGATAATAAAAATCTGTTCGCATCATGGCTTGCGATAACATCCTTCACTAGCGTACGGACCTACGTAGGTACATAGATTGTGCTGGGTCAGTGAAAGGTTGATGGGTATGTATCATGTAAGGGCGAGTGTTTTGCTAAACACATAGGAAGATGTAAATAGGCTTGAATTTGACTTCCCCATTGCTCTCGCATCGCGGTGCGCAAGCCTAGGGTCGATTGGAACTGGTAAAGGGACATAGGGAGAGAGTGGAGTGACGGTGGAGTGGTGGAGTGGTGGAGCTCATTTTTCTCTCAACGCCCTTGGGGACTACCTTGATTAGATCTAGTGACTTGGATATGCGAGAATAGGATATTTAGCACGCCAAACTGCTAATCTCTAAACTTGTTGGCGGAAAAAAATCGGGCGTCTCATCACTTCGTCAGGTCTAAATAGTAACAGTGAATTTCACACGTTCTGCACTGTTTTGTCTACATATCCTCCAATTCAACATCACCACACTTCAAAGATACAAGTCAAACTTGTGAGAATGGCTTCTAAGCCAAACGTTGCCTTCATCGGCTTAGGTGCCATGGGGATGGGAATGGCCGTACACTTGCTCGAAGACGGTTTCGCTGTGACCGGGTTCGATGTCAATCCCATGGCCCTAGAGAGACTGGTCGTCATGGGCGGTGCGGCTGCTTCTAGTCCAAGGGAATGTGTCCAAGGTGCATCTTTCGTTATCTGCATGGTTGCGAATTCTGCGCAGACCGAGGATGTATTCTTCGCCGACTCAACGGGCGCAGTATTTGATCTGACACAAAACGCGATTGTCATATTGTGCTCAACCGTTGCTCCAGGGTTTCCGGCGGAAATTTTGGGGCGCATCCACCAAGACTTCCAAAGACCAGACATACAATTGTTGGATTGTCCTGTGTCCGGTGGAACCATACGCGCCGCTCGGGGAATGCTGACCATTCTGTCCTCGGGCCCGACGGATGTTTTGAATATCGCTCAGCCAATCTTAAAGTCAATGAGCGAGAATCTATACGAGATTGAGGGAGGACTAGGTGCCGCAAACAAAGTCAAACTTGTCAACCAGCACCTTGCCGGTGTTCATATTGCGGTCTCTGCAGAGGCAATGGGGCTAGCTGCAACATTGGGAGTGAACACAAAGGAATTCTACCAGACCGTTCTGAAAGGCCCAGCGTGCAGTTGGATGTTTGAGAATCGAGTACCTCATATGCTCTCCAACGACTGGACCCCTCACTCTGCCATCAGTATCTTTGTTAAGGATATGGTAAGCTTTCTGCCCTTAGTAGCCCCTAGGGAGACATTTTATTTCTTCCACTGACACTCAAATCAGCGAATTGTGACCTCCGAAGGTCTCCTTCAGGACTTCCCTCTTTATATTGCATCTGCTACAGAACGACTTTATCAATATGCCGCGCGGATGGGATATGAAAAGGACGACGATGCGAGTCTTGTTCGGATTTTTCTAGCACAAAGTCCATCTCTGGTTTCCGAAGCAACACATTGCCAGAGCCCTGATAATTCGCGTGCATCTGAATTGATATGCCAATTACTCGAGACCGTCCACACGTTAGCAGCAGTTGAAGCTCTGGCCCTCGGAAATAAACTTGGCATTTCGACCAACACCCTCACATCAATTATTTCAAACGCCGCTGGTGCTAGTGAGTCGTTCAAAAGAGTTGCCTCGCAAATCTTGGCCGGTGATCTCTTATCTGGATACACCATCACACATACACGGAACAAGCTAGTAGGTCGGTCCTCTTCAAAGCTTCGAATGACGCCACTAACCAAATCGATAGAAAGAAGTGATGACCCTTGCCCACATGCATAATTATCCCCTTCAACTCACAGCTACTACATTTCAGCTGTTACAACAGGCTGTGACCTATGGTATGGGCGGCGAAGGTCAGGCAGCGCTCCTTAAGTTATGGACAACATCAAATCTTTCGACTGAACCTTTGCATATTACCGAATATGACCCAGTTCCCCTCTCGGAACTGGACTCAAAATTGCCGAAAATTGAACACAACGTTGAAACCCTCCTACGCAATATCCAGAACCATGTACAAGCTGAGCAGGACTGCAATCTCGTTGTTCTAGATGATGACCCAACAGGAACACAGACGTGCCACGATATCAATGTCCTCACAATGTGGGATGTTGACCTTCTGGCCTCAGAGTTCCGATCAGAGAGCAAAGGCTTTTTCATTTTGACCAACAGTCGTGCCTTGCCTCCAAACGAAGCTCGTACGCTAGTCAGTGAAATACTGCGAAACGTTTCCCAGGCGGCTAGTATGACCGGGAAAAAGTTCGAAGTTGTCCTCCGGGGAGACTCTACGCTGCGTGGCCATTTCCTGGAAGAAGTCGAATCGTATATTGATACGATTGGTTCTCCCGATGCGTGGATTCTTGCACCGTTCTTTGGGCCAGGTGTTCGCTACACCGTCGATGACGTACAGTACGTGGGTGACCGAGATACCCTAGTCCCAGCTGCAAAGACTCCATTCGCCAAGGATAAAACCTTTGGCTACAGATCCTCAAATCTGAGGGAGTGGATTCGTGAAAAAGCAGGATCGCGATTTTCTAGCAAAGACATACTGTCTGTCACATTGGAGGATATCAGACTCGGCGGAGTTTCTGCAATCGAACAAAAGTTACTTCTCGTGCCCAAGGGTGGAATTCTGATAGTTAACGCAGTCCAGGCGGAGGACATGCTTATGTTCAGCCAGGCATTATTGGAAGGTAACCATCCTTGTTTCTTTCTGGTTCCTTCAAAGTGCATAGTTCTTTCAAACTGACTTCTCACCCACAGTACGCAAAAAACACAAACTCCTGTTTGCCTATCGAACAGGCGCGAGTTTTGTATCTAGTCGCCTCGGAATCCCGGAAAAATCGGCCATTTTACCGAGACAGATCCCAACGCTCGAACCCACGAGACGCACGGGAGGACTAATCATAGCGGGCTCCTATGTTCCCAAGTCTACCAAGCAGGTTCAGTCATTGATCCAAAGGTTAGGGGGTAATTTGACAACCCTCACTGTAGAAGTGCCAGCTCTGTTGGTCGAGCTCCAGAAGTACTCCGACATTCTCACAATGCTTCGTGATTCACCTACATTGCAAGACATTGTTGCACGTGCGTCTGGAGATCTCCAAAATGGCAAGGATGTGCTGGTGATGACCAGTCGAGACCTTGTGACACTTGATACTATCACTTCATGGACATCCGAAACTTCAAACCAGATAACGAACTTGGACATCAACAACTTAGCCGCGAATGCCTTGGTACACATTGTTCGCCATTTGAGTGTTTGCCCTCGATACCTGCTAGCGAAGGGCGGCGTGACATCATCTGATGCGGCGACAGCTGGTATAGCCATAAAACGCGCAAAGGTACTGGGACAGGCGGCGCCTGGGGTTCCCATTTGGTGGTGTCAGAGCGAGGAAGATCTTAAGAGTCAAGATCAAGGAGGCCGGGAGGTTAAATGGACTGAGCTGCCATTGATCATTTTCCCAGGCAATGTTGGAGATGAAGATGGCTTGGCTGATGTAGTTGAACAGTGGACATTACGGTAGACTATTGACAATGTATCTAGAATCAAATATAAAAAAAGTCGTTACATGGTGATTTGCTTTACCACTAAGGAAGTTTGAGCTCACTGTATAAAACAAGTTTGCATGGGTGAAGTGCTTGAATAGGGAAGTGAGAGAAAACCGAGGTGGAGGAGGATGTTGAGTTGTAGTTATAAGCAAACATGGACAAATATTTATCAACACATCAGGAAATCAGAAATAGCTACGCAAGAAGTTGGTGAGGGGGGTTCTCAAAACTACCGCCATATTTTTATAGTAAATATGTTTAAATTCATCTTCTTTAGAAGCTAATAATGTCCAAATATGTGTCTGATTCAAAAATGGGCAGATCTATCACTGAACCATGAAGGCCTCAAAGTCCTCATCGGGGAGATATGCCTTTTCATTCCCCTCAATCGTACCCAGATACCACGAAAGATCGCTTCCATCAAACTCTCGCGCGGCGAAGCCATTGCCAAGGTAGCCAAACCGATTAGGGGTTGTATAACCGAGGTTATAATCTTCCCAACGAGGCTGTTTCATGGTTTCAAAGAAATGAATTCTCGATCCCGGCCACATCATCACCTCCCCATCGGTCGTCCCCTGCTTGAACCAAGAACGACATGGAGATGTCCAAGCGGTACGAGGCATAAAGTTTCGGTGATGCTCAAAGAAATCCGCAACCGCCTCAACTTTGGGATCAAATGATGTCACACCTTCCGATGACATTTTCTCGAGCATCTGCAGGAAGTGTCTGGATATGGTCTCTGTAATTGGAAGGAAACTTCCGTGGCCGTAGGGTCCAAAGGGACCATTGAAGACTGTTCGATCGCCATTAGTATCCTACCACTCTAGGGCTGAAGGCGCGGAGGGACTTACTGAGGTAATTGGGGAAGTGCGGAACTGTGATAGAAAGGTAAGTCCTTGGAATATTCTTCCATTCTTCACTCAGACTACGAGATTCCCGGCCGATTGTTGGGTACGATGGCCGCCAACTGACGTCAAAGCCGGTAGCACACACGATAACATCGACCTCGTGCTCAACTCCATCCGCGGTCTTAATACCCTTGGGGGTGATCTCTTCAATTGATTGACTGACAACCGTGGTGTTCTCGCTGCAAAGCGCCTCGAGGTACCCATTACCAGGTGTAGGTCTTCGGCAGCCCACTGCAAAGTCTTTCGGAACAATCGAGTCTGCAATTTCGGGATGATTGGCAAGCTTGGACCTCATATCTTTCTCCGCGTACTAAAACGGGTTCCATTGTCAGGAATGAACTAGAAGTGCGCTGGATCGAGAGGGGGGATCTTACAGCTCGCGCATTTGCTTGCTCTTCGGATCCATTGAGAATGAATCGGAAACGGGAGTTGAGCTCAGACTCAATCTTCTTGCGATATGCCAGGTATTTCTGAGGATCATTCTGCAGTATCTTTTTTTGCTTCTCATTGTCTGTTATTGTTAGGATTTTGGATGGAGGTTTGATAAGGCCTGATTGAAGGAAGCCTTACATTTGAAATTGGATCCCCCCTTTCCGGCAAATCGCTGACCAAAGCCCGCAGTCACCCATGAGGCACTGCGAATGAAGCATTTGAGGGATGCCACCTCTGTATTGGACGTTAATATACTTTCTTTCGCGCTTTAAATCAGCGAAACTCACTAGGCTGAATGTTCGGAACGATTTGCACTGCAGAGGAGCCTGAGCCGATAACAGCCACACGCTTCCCCTTCAATTCAACATTGTCGTCCCAGTTTGCACTATGAAGTCTAGGGCCCTGGAAGGTTTCCAGGCCCTTGATCGCTGGCCATTTCCATTTGCTGGAATACGTCAGTCTCAACGTGGTACAACCGCAAAGGAAAAGGGTACTCACTTCAGCACACCACTTGCGTTGATCAATATGTGACCTTTATCCTCAAAGACATCTCCAGGATTATCTCCTTTCTGGATTTTTACGTGCCACTGTTGATCATGCTCATCCCAAAACGCGCCTACCACCTTGTGCTCCAAACGGATATATTTCCGAAGCCCATACTTGTCGGCAACTCCCTTGAAATATTCCAAGATTTCAGGTGCACCCGAGTAACTACCAACCGGTAAGTTTAAATGCCCATTTGCTTGTTCGGACAAGACGGGTACTCGATTCACTTACAAGGAGGTCCAGTCTGGAGAGGGAGCCCATGAAAACTGATAGTTGACAGAAGGTATATCGCATCCACATCCGGGGTAGCGGTTCTCATACCAAGTGCCACCGATTTCGGGATTCTTTTCGTAAAGAACCAGCTCAGTATCCAATGAGCTTGTGTCGATGTCATGGGCAAAGTTTAACGCACTCGCACCAGCTCCGATCACGATGATGCGGATTTTGCGACGGTAACGGCTTGGCTTTTCCACGATTTCGTAAGGCTTGACCCCATTGACAAGTCCATTAGCCCCCTTAGGCTCATAATCGTCACCGATAGATCCCATTTTGAGGTAGAAGAAGTAGAAGCTGGATAAAATATAGTAGAGAGATGACCAGAGTGTCTCATCAGATCATGCAGATATAAGAGCGTGGGATTGATGCATTTATGAGACTCATTCCTTTTAGCGCACATTTCACTACATTTCGTGCTTTTCGAATAGAAGGTGGACAATCCGTTGACAGTCGCACTTCCTGTAACTCGTCGGTGGACTGGTGGAGCTCCACCAGTCTTATCTCACTTCTCCAGGGCTCCTCCCTCTCCACCATCTCCACAACGGACAGATGCGCGAAGAGGGGGATGGTCTATCTACTGTTGTGTAGTCATGGAGTTGTACTTTAATGATAAGCTACTCGGAGCCTCTAATAGACCACATTTACCCCGTTCTACCTGGCCAACTCACCAATTCTATATTCTACTGAGTCTCTAATCCAGACTCACATCCAATATGCCTGAAGGTACCAACAAGAAGCCGTTGCGCATTTCCATTGGTGAGTACTGATACCCCTCAATATGATTTAATTTAGTATTGACTAGATCAGATCGCGGAGGAACCTTCACCGATTGTATTTGCAAAGTGATCAACGGGGACGATATTCTTGTGAAGATCTTGTCTGTCGACCCAAAGAATTATGCCGACGCGCCAACTGAGGCGATTCGCCGCGTGTTGGAGATATACTATAAAACTTCAATTTCACGAGGCTCTGAACTAGATCTCAAGGATGTTGGTAAGAGTCATCAGCTCAGAAACATGCTTGGTTACCTTTGGTGCTAATTGAACAGAATGGATCCGCATGGGCACAACGGTTGCAACCAATGCGCTACTCGAGCGCAAAGGCGAGCGTACAGCCTTACTTGTCACCGAAGGCTTCAAGGATATTTTGTATATTGGCAACCAAAGCCGACCGTACATGTTCGATTTGTCAATTCGACGATCAAAATCGCTATACTCAGACGTCTTTGAGGTCAAAGAGCGCGTGACAGTTGGGGCATGCAGTGACTCGAATCTCCGTACCGTGAAGCTGCAATCTCCAGAACCAGTTGAGTCAATCGTTAGTACCTCTGGTGAGGTCGTTCAAGTCCTACAGCCGATCGATTTGGCAAGTACTCGGGTTTATCTGCAAGATATATATAAAAAGGGCTTCCGCTCATTGGCTGTGTGCCTCATGCATTCCTACATCTTCCCAACTCATGAGTTACAGATTCGTGAGTTGGCCCTCGAGATTGGATTCAAATATATATCTCTCTCACACCAAACCTCTCCACGACCAAAACTGGTCCCTCGCGGAAACTCCACAGTGGTTGACGCATACCTGACCCCAAACATCGAGCAATACTTGCAACAATTCTCAAAGAATTTCCCCAATATTGAAAAGTCGGGGACACGATTGGAGTTCATGCAGTCAGATGGTGGATTGGTGCCTTCGTCAAGCCTCTCTGGGCTGCACTCTATTCTCTCTGGACCGGCAGGAGGTGTTATCGGATTTTCTCAGACATGTTTCGACACAGAAGAGCAAACCCCTGTCATTGGATTTGACATGGGAGGCACCAGCACCGACGTTAGTCGATACGACGGAGAGCTGGATCACATCTTTGAGACAACGACTGCTGGGATTGCGATCCAAGCCCCACAACTTAATGTGAATACCATCGCGGCTGGTGGAGGAAGTATACTAGCTTGGAAAGATGGACTTATGTCAGTTGGTCCCGAAAGTGCCACCTCCAATCCTGGACCGGCCTGCTACCGTAAAGGAGGTCCTCTGACTGTGACCGATGCAAATCTGGCACTGGGTCGACTGCTGCCAGAGGAGTTCCCCTCGGTGTTTGGTGTTAATGAGGACGAACCATTGGATAGAGAGGTTGTTCTTGCTAAGTTCAAGGATCTCACTCAAACTATCAACCAAGAAACGGGTAAAACGCTGACGTGGGCAGAGGTTGCAGATGGGTAAGTATATTCAGAATACAGGCATCAGATTCGGCTACTAAGAAATTCCTTGCAGTTTCCTTCAGGTCGCCAACTCGGCGATGTGTGGACCCATTCGAAGTTTGACCGAAGCCAAGGGTCATGATGCTGCAAAGCATCACCTCGCGTCATTCGGTGGTGCAGGGGGTCAACATGCCTGCGCTATCGCCGAAGCCCTAGGAATTAAGAGAGTCTTAATCCACAAATATTCCTCTATCCTCTCTGCCTACGGGATTGGATTGGCAGACCTCGTGCACGAGGAAGAGCGGGTATGCGCAAAAGCCTTTGACGACTCTACGTCCAAAACGATATACAGCGACATAGATATTCTCGCAGACACCGCCCGAGGCAATGAGTCCATGAAGCCGTTCAACATTGTTCAGACCCGCCGCTTCCTGAATATGAGATACGATGGCAGCGAGACTTCAATCATGGTGTCCTTGGATAGCTCCGACGACCCTCGAGAAGATTTTATCAAAGCTCATCATCAGCAATTTGGGTTCACTCCTACCAACCGTGCAGTGTATGTTGACACTATTCGCGTTCGGGCGATTGGCTCCAGTGTATTCTCTGGGTCTGCGGACAAATCCTTGAATTCGCATCCCAAACTCGTGTCTGGATCAGTGGCTCCGGTTCCAAAATCATGGGAATCCACATACTTCAGTCCAATGGGATGGGTAAATACACCAGTATACCATTTTGATAACTTGAGCGACGGGTGCCAGATCTCAGGACCAGCTATCGTTATTGACAAAACCCAGACAATTCTGGTCAGTCCGCACTCAAAGGCGACATTGAGACAAGATGTACTGGTTCTGGACGTGAGCTCCTCAGGTCCGAAAGTGACAAGCGCAGAGGTCATTGATCCAGTTCAGCTTTCCATTTTCCGCCACCGGTTTATGGGAGTTGCAGAGCAAATGGGACGCGTTTTGCAAAACGTCAGTATCAGTGCCAATATTAAAGAGCGGTTGGATTTCACTTGTGCGATTTTCACACCCGAAGGAGATTTGGTTGCCAACGCACCCCATGTACCCGCCATGATCGGGAGTATGGCATTTGCAGTCAGATCACAGATTGCTGAGTGGCAGGGCAAGCTGCAGGATGGTGATGTTTTGCTCTCCAATACACCAGGTAAGTATTTCAACTCAAATATGAGAGTGATTCCAGCAGCTGACACATTATCAAGCATTTGGAGGTGTGCATCTTCCTGACCTCACGGTCATCACCCCTGTGTTTGACTCTGAGGGGAAAGAGATAATATTTTGGGCTGCTTCGCGCGGTCACCATGCCGACGTAAGTTCTCTTTATGCTATAATTAATCCTAAGACTAATGCACTGTGTACAGGTTGGAGGCATACTTCCTGGCTCAATGCCACCCCTGTCAAAGCTTTTATCCGAAGAGGGTGCAGTATTTGATTCATATCTGCTGGTGCGCGCTGGTAATTTCGACGAGGAAGAGCTTCACCGCAGGTTATGCGTAGAGCCTGCGCGTTTCCCGGGATCCAGTGGATCCCGATGCTTCCAGGATAATGTCACCGATTTGAAAGCGCAGGTTGCTGCAAACCACTGTGGCATCCGTCTCGTGCGGCAACTGATCGAAGAATATTCTATGGATGTGGTTCAGGTAATCACCGTTGATAACAAATGGATATCATGGACTATTAGGCTAACCAAGGTAGATGTACATGCGCGCCATTCAAGACTCAGCTGAGCTGGCGGTGCGGAATCTCTTGAAGCGTCTTGCCCATGATCACAATGGGGAAGAGATATCTGCGGTCGACTACATGGACGACGGTACCCCAATCATGCTCAAGGTAACCATTGATGAATCAGATGGTTCCGCCATCTTTGACTTCACGGGAACAGGTCCAGAGGTTTATGGTACGTTTATCATGATGCCTCACCACAGAAATTTCAATAACTGATTAAATGTAGGAAACTGGAATGCGCCAATTGCGATCTGCAACTCTGCAGTCATCTTTGCCTTGCGCTGTATGGTCAACTCCGACATTCCCCTCAACCAGGGCTGCATCAAACCTGTTCAGCTTATCATCCCTGACAGGTCACTGTTGCGGCCGAGCTTCGAAGCCGCGGTGTGCGCGGGTAACGTATTAACCTCACAACGGATCGTGGACGTCATTTTCAAGAGTTTCAAGATCTGCGCTGCCAGTCAAGGATGCATGAATAATTTCACCTTCGGCAATGACGGGGAGAACGGGTTCGGATACTATGAAACTATCGCTGGCGGGAGTGGTGGAGGCCCTGGATGGGCTGGTACAAGTGGCGTGCATACCAACATGACCAACACGCGCATTACCGACCCCGAATCACTTGAACGACGTTATCCGGTGATTCTCCGTCGTTTCAGTCTTCGAGATGGAAGTGGCGGTGCCGGAATGTATCCTGGAGGAGAAGGCGTTATCAGAGATGTTGAGCTGCGGCTGCCGATGTCTGTGTCCATTCTTTCGGAACGCCGCAGCTTCGCACCTTACGGTATGGCAGGCGGCGCTGATGGCAAGCGCGGAAAGAACACATGGATCACCAAGGCCGGTCGACATATCTCCGTTGGTGGCAAAAATTCGATCCGCGTCCAACCCGGAGACCGATTCGTCATCGAAACACCCGGTGGTGGAGGATATGGAGTCCTTGGAGAGCCAAGGAAATCAACTGTGGATCAGTCAACGGTCATGCCGTCGTTTGTTCCCATCGCCAACGGTAGTGTGGCCGCCAACCGGAGTTTGGCGGAGGAGGTATAGGAGTATACCGTATGTTCTTGGACATATTCTGTTTGTTTCTCTTAAATGTATAACCCTTCTATATTTTATGAAAAGAGTTGGATTCCAGTTACTCAAAAAATTAAAAACTCGATCCACAAAATAGGAAGAGGCTGGAGACAAGATATCTATGTAATAGGAGCGTTGAATAATATACAATAAACCAATGGAAGGTCAAAATCCTCCATAGTAGGAAGCCTCCTAGTTAAAAAATAATCTCTACGACATTTGTCGTGCATGTCCAAATCTACTTTGTGTAAGCCCATAACAAAAATTTCAGTTCCTGTTTAGGCTCTAGGGGGGCCATAGTTCTAGTTCGACACATCTCTATGAGAGAATCTTAATCTTTTTCATATTAGAATTGATACATAATTCTTTACAAAAAGATAACGACTAAATAATGCAATAAATTGGAGCGAAGGACTTATAGGACAGGTTTTGTTTGCTAGACACATGTAGGTAGTAGATATCCCATCAATATTCCATAAGTAGAAGCCCTATCACGGTACAGTTCTAGTGAGTACAAATATTCTACTTCGCTTGCTCAAGCTTAGTCAGGAAAGACTCGAATAAAGCATACCAAAGATACCATGATCCTTGTTCAAGCGTAGAGAATCACAGTACATATCGAAAGGCTGGCTGCTCAAAATCCGTCAAATCCAGGAACTCAGAACCAGGTATAGCATGTGCAGTATCAGGATCCTCGAGCGCCTTGCGGTCTCGTCTCTTGTTCTCCAGGATGTTGATCACCCGAATTGCTCCCAAGGTAACCGCTGCTAGAGCATACATGATGGCAACCATCAACTTTCCATCGAAATATTCAGGCGATTGGTTTGAACGGAACGTTTGAGGACCTATCCAGTTTCCGGCTGCGTAGGCCACAATCTGAAGACCGTTCACTGTTGCTTTCTTGGTATATCCTAGGGTGTTGTTGGAAATCATCACCATAACGAGACACCAGGCAGTTCCAGCGGCACCAATGAAGTAGTATCCTATCAGCAAGGCGGCTTTGGCATGAACGGAGATCACAATCATCATGATCCCACCGACCATGGGGATCAGGATGGCGATTATGGCAAAGAGGGTGCGATCAAAGAACCGATCAGAGAGATAGGTAAATCCCAGCTTACAAGTAATGTCCACGAGGCCCATTGGCATGTTCAAAATCAGAGACATGCGACTGGAAAATCCAAAGGAGCTGATGATGATAGAGCCAAAGGTTGTGATTCCCCCGTTGGGGATGTTCATCAGCAACGAGAATAGGACGTAGAGATATGTGCGTGGGTCGCGGAATGCTTCGAAAAATTGGGGCCATTTCCATGTTTGATTGCCGATTCCTTGGAAGTTGCCCCGAATGCGATCAACGGCAATAAGTTTCTCACGGTGATTCAAGAACCGGGCCTGGACTTGATTGTCGGGCATGTACCACATATATAATATACCCGTTACGACAGTGGGCAGGCCAAAAACTAAAAAGAGGATTTTCCAGACAGCGATAGAAGTGCCGTGTACACCCGCCAGGCCGTAAGCAATGGGCCCAATAAGCAGCTGGGCTAATCCGTTACAGCTGAGCCAAAGGCCCATGCGTCTGGCTTGTTCCTCTTGTTTATACCAGCAAGAAGTGAACAAGACAAATGCTGGCGTAACTGTTGCCTCAAATGCGCCTAGGAAGAAACGAACGCATAGTAGGCTGGCATAGTTGTGAGTGGCTGCGTGACAGACGAGTGCGATACCCCAGAGCAGGATATTGGCTGAGGCGTATTTGCCTAGGGGCAGGCGGCGAAGCAGATACGTGGTGGGGAATCTATGCTTATGCATTAACAACCTGTAGAAGACAGTAGTAGGAGAACAGACTTACTCCCAAAAGATATATCCAGCATAGAAGATACTCGAGACCCAACTATATTGCTGCGAGTCGGGGTCCAAATGAGTGTCCTCCCGAATGCCCATGAGCGAGGCATAATTCAATGATGTTTTGTCGGCAAACTGAATCAAATAGACCCAACAGAGCAAGGGCATGAGGACTCGATCGATTTTGGATAAAACCTTCTTGGCCTCATCGGGGGTATATTCAATCTCTTCTGCGTTCAAGAATTGGAGAGCAGGATCAAAGTCCCGGATCTCATGTTGCTTCAGGTCTCCATCCCGAATGTCCATGACTGCTTGCTCCGTATCACGCTTTGATGGAACCTCAGATAGCTTCATATCGTTTGACGCTGTCATGTTGTCTCAGTTGATGCACCTCTGTACAACAGGGCCTCGAATGCCAGAATCATGAAGCCATGGCTTCCTCTTTAAATCCCCCTCTTTTGATATTGGGTTATCGGAAAGGCTGTTTGACAGCCTATGGGGAAGTCGGCCAAGCTTCAAGCTTTACCCCGGAATTTTTGGAGGTGGACATTTTCTGGTGGAGCTCCATTTTGAGGCGAGGGCTTGTGGACGGGCTTATCACCCCTATCACCTTATCACAAGATTAGGGTTCCAAGGTTGGTGTCCACGGGGATGCCCCGGGCTGGGAAGGTGACATGTCCGAGGTAGATAGCAATTTAGTGGACATTGAGATTATCTATCTGACTCCATTATTTTCATATCGCATACCTGCCATAGTCCAAAAATATTCCATCTTATCGCGTCACTGTCTGATTTATGCATTCCGCGACATACCGAACATTGGACCCGTTCAGCCCCGCGATGGATACCCTCGAGCTCTCCGCCATATAGATATGGTATTCCTCTATGTCACGTATATGTCAGCTAGCCTTCACAGGACGAATATAAGTTCCGCTGTGAACATGTTTTTCCCGATCACTTACTTTGTAAATGGTGTACTTGATCCGGCGTGAGACCGAGAATGCAAAACATTCCTTTTTGCTCAGTGATGCGCTTCCAGTCTCCAGGGGTGCCTAACAAAAAATCAGAGAAATTCTACATCGAATCCCAAACGCGACTAGGGGTGGGGCAAGCGTACGAAGTTCGGTCAACCCTTGATATAATTGCCATCGCATTTCCGCGATTCTCGAACTCATCGTAACGAGATCTTTCCTCCACTGCGCATAAAGCCCATCGTCTTCTAAAACCGCAGCTACGATGCGCGCACCGAATGCAGGGGGATTGGAGATTTCAACTCGGATCATTCGGGCCAAACTTGACTCGACGGCAGCTGCGATAGTGGGAGTGGTCGACGAAAAGGCACATAATCCGACACGCTCACCTTATTTTCGAAACAGGTTAGCATAAGACGGAGAAGAAATACCACTATAATTATGTTCATACCGTAGAGGCCCATGCTTTTGGCAAAAGAAAGACACACGGCGATCTCAAGACCAAGCTCATCGGCAAAATATCGGATGGCAAATGCATCGCGATCGTAGTCGCCCGAGGTCAACCCCAAGTACGCGGCGTCAAAGAGGGGGAATAGCTGCCTCTCCTTTACAATAGCGCCGATCTGTTTCCATTGATCTACACTGCAGTCCCATCCGCTTGGGTTGTGAGCGCTGGCATGAAACACAAAGATGGACTTTGGGGCTGCCTCGTTCAGTGTTTGGATCAATGATTGCATATCGACACCGGTATTGGATGAATAATTGAATTCGCGAACTGCGAAGCCAATTGATTCAAAAACCTGGCGGTGATTTGACCAGCTAGGTTTGGTTATATACACGGTTGTATCGCGACCTAGGACCTGCTTAAGCATTGTCCCCGCGATGTGGAGTGCCCCTGTACCGGACAGAGCTTGACAGGATGCGACCTGGAGGATGTCAAAAATTCAATCACTGGAATAATTGCTAGAAAAGCAGTTGAATACCACTCACTCGGCCTTCCCGAATTGCAGCAGATTGTTTGCCAAAGACCAAGTCCGTAGCCAGTGTCCGAAACGATGGGAGCCCTAGGATCGGGAGGTATTCATGGTTCGCGTCCTTGATTTTCTCTTTGGCCGATCGCACCGCGGGCAAGATCCAAGGGTCGCCATTTTCATCTTTGTATGTTCCTTGCCCAAGATTCACTTTGCGCGCAGCTGGATCCGCGTTGTATGTTTTGGTGAGCTCGAAGATAGCATCCGGAGGCGTATAGTTCACAAGCTCGAAAAACGAAGGTGAAACAGAACCCATTGTGCCGGGTAAGTAGGAAGTGATTTTTGAATGTGAGTAGAAGAAATACAACAAAAGAGAGGGTAGCAAAATCAATGGAGTTGGTTATATTAGCCTTGATTGCGTTATGTGCCTTTGAATAGCAGCGGAGCCCCGCGATGGAAAGAATGGTGGAGCTCCACCGAGGATGCGAGATACCAGCCGAGCTCAATAAATAAGACAACTAGGAGCGATAAATAGCAATCAGGCGCTAAATATCGTCAGCATTTCTTTAATTCCTCAGGTTCAAAAATTATAACGAAATGGCAACGGCAAAGCCCAACTTCGGTGTCTACACGCCACTAGTGACGTTCTTTGAGGAGGACGAGTCCCTTGATCTCCAAAGCACTTTGGCTCATGCAAAGCGCATGGCCGAAGGTGGGGTTGCTGGGCTTGTCCTCCAGGGAAGCAATGGAGAGGCTCCTCACTTAGACCATAGCGAGCGCAAGTCTCTGGTGCGCGCTGTCCGCGACCACCTTGATCAGCTGGGTTATGCAGGATTGCAGTTGATTGTCGGTTGCGGAGCACCTAGTGTGCGCGAAACACTATCCTATATCTCAGATGCCAAGGCTTCCGGTGCCAATTTCGCCCTCGTGTTGCCACCAGCATACTGGGTTGCAGCCATGAATGCATCCGTTATTGAAAAGTTCTTCCACGATGTAAGAAGCCCGAAAAAGGAAACCCGCTCTCGTGTTTTGATAAACTAACAATACTTGAAAATTCAGGTTGCATCTGAATCCGAGCTTCCCATCCTCATCTATAACTTCCCTGGCGTGACAGGAGGCATCGACATCAGTTCCGATTCCATCATTCGCCTAGCCCAGTCCAATCCAAATATTGTCGGGTGCAAGCTCACCTGCGGCAACGTTGGAAAACTCCAGCGTGTTTCATCGGCACTTTCAGGAACATCATTTGCTACTTTTGGCGGAAAGTCGGACTTTTTCCTTCCTGCGCTCGTCGCTGGGTCGAACGGCATTATTGCCGCACTCGCCAACATTGTACCCAAGCTGCATGTGAAGGTATTGCAATACTATGAAAAGGGTGAGCTTCCGGCAGCACAGGAGCTTCAATCTAAGCTCAGTCATGCCGACTGGGCCCTCACCAAGGTAGGCATTGCGGGTGTCAAAGCTATCGTATCCCATCATTTCGGATACGGCACAGGCCGGGGACGCAGACCGCTGGGGAACACAACGATCACGACCTTGAGTCAAGAAATTGTGGCTCCAATAAATGAGGTGGTGAATTTGGAGAAACTGTTGGGATGAAATGCCTAGATGCTTTGTTTGGCAGACGTCCACCTGCTATATATACAGCTAGCTTCTCTTTATTTGGAGAGAATACAGAATATTCTACTATTCCCTCTTAACCAGAGACGTTTTATAATTAAGTATGGGATTGGCAGGGGCTACTCGTATATTCTGGAATGAGTAAATAAACATGAAGTAAGTATAAGAGCTTTAATTCCGCCAGTGAAAATGTTGTGATTTGATTAAATAGCAATTTAAGTGATATGTAGAAAAATGACTGCTTATATCAACCATCGGGTATCTTCTCTAGATTCTAGAGCCTAACCCTCTTAATAACTGATTCATGCGCGAGGCAACGTATGGAAGCCTTGCTTTTTCTTTAGCGAAAAAAGGGGAGGGACACGTCAGGAATGGGCGAATTAATCATGTATCAAAATTTTAATTACAAACATAAAAAAACGTTCTATTTAGCCAAGGGTAAAAGACTCAGTTTCCCTGGCGACTGTTTTCGCTCCAGAAAGATAGACCCGCTTCCATTCGTGCTGTTCCATAAATGGATGAACTATCCAAGCACTCACCAGCATATTCCCGCGCTGTTGTTAGACGATTTGATGCAGTTTCGAGCGTTGGAAGACGAGTTGAATGACTGGCAGCGATGGAGAGAGCGTGCTTCATGTCTTTGCTTGCAAGGGCTGCTGCAAACCCGGGAGACGTGTCCAGCGGCGGTGCATATGCGCCAGTAGTAATGCGTTTTGAGTAGCTTTCGAGCACAGGACCAAACATATTGCCTATAAATTCCTCCAGCTGTTGATTACCGATCCCTGTCACTTCGGCAAATACTTGTGCTTCGGCAATCACTTCCATGAAGCTGATAACGAGGACATTCCTAGAAAAAAGGAAGTGGTTAGCTCAATGCTGATCTTTTCTAATATTGCATGAATTCGCACCCTGATATTTTGAGAAGGCTGGATTTTTGCACATCTTCTCCCATATCAATGATGTTGCGTCCCATGGCCATGATAAGAGGTTTGATTGTCTCAACCGCCCCAACCGGTCCGGCTACTGCGAAGATCAGCTTCCCAGCGGCTGCTACAGAGCTAGCACCAAACACTGGAGCAGCTATAAATGTTGCCCCGTATTCACCAAGGCGAGACGTGGCCCATTTTGACGTGTCTGGATGAATAGTAGAAGTGTCTACAAAGGTTTTGCCTTTCAATAAATCGCCCGCGAGCAGGGCCTTATTAAATAGTTCAATGAGGACATCGTCAGTGGATATCTATTTTTCGTCGTCAATACAGCGTACAATGTTATAAACAGCAAATGTCCTACCATTGTAAAAATTATATCCGAATTTCGGATGAGATCTTCAAAATTATCTTCAGGTATGGCACCTTCATCGCGAAGAAGATCACCCTTTGACAAACTGCGATTGCTGTAACGAAGTGGTGACAAATTGTTACTCTGAAGATGTTTTTGGAGATTGAGGGACATTCCTAACCCCATCGATCCGAGGCCATACTACTCCCAATCAGCAAATAGGCAATCAAATAAGGCATTATGACCTACCCAGCCAACTCTCAGTGTGGACGACGTCATTCTCTTTAGATTGCAGCTCAACTTGAAAGCTTTGTGAAGGTCTTTTAGCTTATCCGCGCGTTTTATAAACAGATTGCGGCCAAGGTTGACCTAACTGAGGAGGAGCCCTAATGGGGACATGTGGAGCTCCACCTGTCCACTTGGTGTACCCACCGTCCACTCGCTCTGATAACAGACTTGAGCCTTCAGTGTTAAACCCCGCAACGGCTTTACTCGGCCCCAGTTCCTGGGATTTCGCCCAATACAGCCAGCATGGAAGGCCCGATCCCCCATAGGGACCTTCGCTGACAGAAGGTTTTGATTAAACTGACAAACAGTGACTCGCCTTCATCGAGCAGACTGACGAAAGCCTCTCGATTCATGGTCCATAAGCGAGGGTCTCGGGTCACGGCATTATCTGCGGGCAAATGGAGAAGAGCGGACTCCATAAGGGTGTTGAAGATCAACATACAGGATTCAGAGATCCTTGGGAGTTCGTTGAAAGTGTCCAAGTGGTGACGGATATCAGTGCTTGCGCGTTTGAGCGCTCCCCAGATACATAGTAAAACACCATAACTGGCCACCGTGACCCAGGGGGCTTCGCGGACCACTTTATCCTGCTCCTCCCCGAAGATGATAGATAATGCCCCAGATAAATCATTCAGAAGAGCCACAATGCCCTCGTCACCACCGACGTGGCGAGGAACAAGAGGTGCTGACCGCCGAATCGCGACAAGGTTCCCTTGGGTCAGATGGGTGGAAGCAGCCATTCCAGCTATCAAGCTGTTATCCACAATACCTGCTATTAAGAGCTGATCAGGGCGACATAGACTGATCTTGATAGAGGAGATGAAGAGCTCATTCGTTCTCCATAGGAGAAACTGGGGGCTGTCACCGGTGTAAGCCTGCTTCTTAACAATTTTCGTGATTGCTTCTATTGCTGCATGTACTTGTTTATTCTGACCCTGGGTCAGAATATGGAACGGATTCGGATCGGACGGGCTTGGCGGCATTTGATAGTAACACCGCGTAAAGTCCCGCACAAGAGCGCCCATGTTCGTCAGAACGCAAAATGCGGCGAAGGGGGATGCTTCTAGAGCTGCTAAAAGTTGTGGGTCGGGTGTTTCTGTCATGAGTTGCTGAGTAGCAATCGTCAGAGAGGCCGTCCCTAGGCCGCGTGGCCCGTGTAACAGACTGTTGGCTATTGTAAAAGTCGAAAGTCCGAAGTTTTCATTGAATCTCAGAAGCCATATCTGAGAGTTTTTGGCTTCCCACAGATTGATAGGGAAGGGAAGTTCCCAGCCAAGTTCCATTGGTGACATCAAAGGCCGAGAATTGCAAGGCGAAAATGTGTGTGAATCTAGGAAGACTAGAGTATACAGCGACAGTCTCATCGATTCGGTGGTAATATATGACGTCCACCGCGTATAGAGAGTTTGTGAATCATCTCCGGGTGAGTTGAAATCAAGTTGGTACATCCAAGACTGGGCATCCGGCATAGCGATACCCTGTTGGGACAGACCAATTTCGTGTACAACCTATCTCAAAAGATAAGCCTAAGTAAGGGGCAGGGTAGAAGGATATTGTAGGGGATAATACAGACATCAACAAGTTGCCGCAGCATCTTTTTCACGGCCTGGAATAGGCCTGCTTCGCTTGCGTATACCCCGTAGATTATATAGAGAAGCCACGCTTGTATGACCCAGGGCTGTCTGATCTCACTGCAATTCAAAGAAACCTATTTTAATATTGATTAGAACGTTTTTTCAAAGGACACGATAGTAAGGTTTCATCATGTACCATGTGCCGAAGCTCTTCCTGTCCACTTTGCCAGATATCTTGACGCCAGTGTGCGAGAGCTTGGGTTTCCTCATGATCATACAAGTTGGGAGAAAATAAACTCCCAATGACAGTGACGGCCTTCAGCAGTAACTTCGGCGTCGAGGATACAATGAATGTAGGTCGATGCAACAGAGGGAAAGACGGGTGAAAATGCTCAAAATACTGTTTGACGTATGTTTCTTCGCTATTAGCGTGGTTACTGTGGGTTTCCATTGTTAGACGTGTGATTGCAATCGATGAGTCCCCCCTTTATGTGGAACGGCATCGGGGGGGCATTTAACAAATCGGCTCAAGGCAAGCAAGCATACCTCGGCGAGGAAGAGGAAAAGCTCTGGGGTAGTTCAGTAGCAAATGTACTATGCTCTTCCCAGAAAGCTTCGTCGGTCACAACACGTTCGGTTGGGTTGCGGGTGGTGGTCAAAGGTGACGGTACGCCGCCCATTGCCTGGGGGTAGGCATACCCTCCCACGGCACCTGCGGCTGAGATATCTGGATTGGGGATCCTGTCGCGCGGCAACGATCACCATGTCGTTTATACACGTCGCTGCAAAATTATTAGTGTTATTGCAATGCATGGCGAGTATGAAAATAGAAACAAGACCTTCGAGAGAATCGAGCATGACATCTGCTACACTGAAAATTCTTGCGCGAAGCACCGCCGTGACCTTGTAGAGCATGAATATTTGATTTTCTATGAAGGAATATTCATGCAGACTTACGTGCACGCTTATGCCGCTGTAGGTTTTCCTGCGGTAGATCGGATCTGCGTGAGGACTAGGTAAAGATAAGGAGCTGGGGTACTTACACTCCGCGTAAACAACTTTGAGCATTGATCACAGGGAAACGGACGATGCTGGTCAACCCCACTCGTCATACCTGAGGCGCTAGTGTTTTGATTCATTTCGTTCATTTCGTTCATTTGTTCATTGGGGGGTTGAATACCGAGGGAGTTCGGGAAAGAGAGGGCCCCTTGACTACGGGCGCACGTGCCATTACTTTCTCTTAGCTTCAACCTTCAATGTTCGAACATTATATAACTAGTCAGTTATACCTAATCTTAGTGTTTATAATATTGAAGATATATGGGATATTAATATTATTGGCCTTTGTATAAAATACATTAAATGGGAGTGAAAAGGCTTCGATCGACAGACATTATCAGGAACATATATTGGTGGATACATATTCTCCGCCAGTCATCGCCAGGTTACATATCCCCCGTCCATTGAACTTGCCTTATCTTCATATTTTGTTACATTCAAATGTTCAAATAAAAAGCACCTACATATTCACTAGACCTCAAAAGGTTAAGCTGAAAAGCCCCAAGTGCCCAAGTGTAAGCACAACGTTGCAAGTGGACCCAGGCAGACTCCGATCCTTTCAACGTCACCTCGTTTGAACCATTTACTTGCAATCCATGACCCCAAATAAAAGCCAACAATCAAGTCAGAATGGTTTCTTTGGATCTTCAAAAACAGGTTGGCCAGGTAAATAATCCCTGGAACCCCTTCTTGGTGAATCTCTCACTGACAACCGCAGCTCTTCGCGGTGGGGTTCCATGGCTGCACCCCAAGCCCCGAAATCAAGACTTTAATCCATGACTACCACCTTGGAGGCATCGTCCTCTTCTCACGCAATATTGAGAGCGCAGAGCAGCTTCGGGTGTGATATCCGAGACTATATTGTCCTTGATTGACTTAACTAATCTTCTCTAGGCCTTGACACTGGCTTTACAAAATGAAGCCAAACTAGCTGGACATGAGCGCCCACTGTTGATCGGAATTGATCAAGAGAATGGACTAGTCACTCGAATTTCTCCCCCGATCGCTGCTCAGGTACCAGGACCTATGGCACTTGGTGCCACTCATGACCCCGAGTGTGCCTATAGTGCGGGGAAAGCCACGGGGGAAACTCTGAGTTTCTTCGGGATTAACATGAACTATGCACCAGTCTGTGATATTAACTCAGAACCCTTGAACCCAGTTATTGGTGTACGCAGCCCTGGCGATGACCCTGAATTCGTGGGCCGGTTTGCGAGTGCAGCCGCGCGGGGTCTACGGGAACAAAACATTGTCCCCAGTGTAAAGCATTTTCCAGGTCATGGAGACACGGCTGTTGACTCGCATTACGGACTACCGGTCATTCCTAAGACAAGGGATCAGCTGGAGCGCTGTGAGTTAATTCCCTTTAGGCGGGCTGTCGCTGAAGGCATCGAGACCGTCATGACTGCTCATATCTCGCTGCCTTGTATCGATCTTACGCGACCCGCAACACTTTCTCCAGATGTTATGGGAATTTTGCGCAAGGACATGGCCTATGATGGTATGATCATCACAGACTGCCTGGAGATGGATGGAATCCGCGCGACATACGGTACAGAAGAAGGCTCAGTGCTAGCATTGCGCGCTGGTAGCGATAGCATCATGATCTGCCATACCTTTGATGTGCAGGTGGCTTCGATCAAGAGAGTTTGCGAAGCAATAAAGTCCGGCACAATCGATCAATCGCGATTGGCGGAAGCTTGTCGCCATGTTGCTACGGTCAAAGACAAGTTTTTGAACTGGGACGTCGCTCTTCGGCAATCCAGTCTCGCAGACCTGAGCTCGCTCAACAACAGAATTGCCGAGACAACCATGGATATATATTCGCGGTCGACCACACTCGTTCGTGACAAGAATGGCGTTCTCCCCCTGTCAAAGACTGCAATAATCATATTCCTCTTCCCTGGAGACAAGACCCCAGTCGGTGGTGCTGTAGACGGTGAGGGAACGGGGAAGCCGGGATTATACCAGTCCAACAGATATCTTGACGTGCTGCGGCAACACAACAATTCCATCGCTGAGATCAGATACGGAGCGACCGGCTTGACTTCGGAGCAATGGCGAACACTTGAAGTCGCTGATGTTGTGATTTTCACATCACTGAATGCAAAAGAGTCGCCATACCAGGAGTCCCTAGGCCTGGAACTTGCCGAACGTGTTAAATCGTTGGTGCATATTGCTGCCTGCAACCCTTATGACTTCCTTGATGCTCCTAATGTCAAGACTTATATTACCACATACGAGCCGACTATCGAGGCATTCTCTGTGGCTGCCGATATCATGTTTGGAGCATTGGTCCCGACAGGTGCTCTTCCAGTGGGAACAAATGCTTTGACAAAGACCTCCGCGGAAATAACACCATTTGACGCACAAAGAGATCTGGATGAGGTGGTCGAAGTCTGGGCCGCTGCTCTCCCGACCTACCTTATCCCCACGAAAAGTTTGCGGTCTATGATAGTACGACCATATGGCCATCATTTCGTCGCGCGCATTGGATCTCAGGTAGTAGGCTTCTGCCTGGCTTACACAAATGCCGACGGTGCACCAGACACCGTGTTTATCTCAGTTCTTGCCGTGTCACCAAAGTATCAACACCAGGGCGTTGGAATTGCCCTGCTGGAAGAAACGAGAGCATACTTCCGGGCAAAGTTTGGCTTCAATAGTGTGAAGCTTGGAAGCTCATTCCCCCGCTTTTGGCCTGGGATCCCCCGGGACCTTCCAGAAACAGTCCAGCATTTCTTTACTCATCGTGGTTTCCGACTCAGTCCTCCCAGTGCCCGATCCGTCGACTTGTACCAAGATATTCGGAACTTCCAGTCGCCAGAGAAGTATATCACTCGTGCCCGGGAACGAGGTTTCCGCTTTGCGCCATTGAAACCCGAAGATTATGAGGCCTGTCTGGTTGGCCAAAGAAGAAATTTCTCTAAGAACGGGGTAAGATTTCCGTGTTATCATCACGCTTATACTTTATTAAAATCTATACTAACGTGTTACAAAGAGCTGGGTGGGGGCATACGTCGCATTACACCCTGACAAGTATCCCGACAGTGTGATGACAGCATTCGACTCCCAAGGCCAGCAGGTTGGCTGGACGTTGATGCTCGGTCCATCAGACGCTCTGAACGAGTCCTGGGCATTCCCCCAAACCTGTGGTCCAAACACAGGCCTGATCGGTGCCGTGGGAATTGATGAATCGCACCGCAAGTATGGCATTGGGTTAGCATTGATCTGCCATGCTATTGAGAACATGAAACAACGAGGTATTGAAGGGGTCTTTGTAGACTGGGTTGCACTCGATGGGTGGTATGAGCAGGTTGGTTTTGAGACTTGGCGAAGCTACAAACCCGGAGAGCTTTGAGTATTCCATCGCTATCGGCTCTTTATTAATTATCAAGAGTTTAGCTCTGCTTGCTAGAAGCATTGATGTAACTAATTCGGGCCTTTGAAATAGGATTACCTTTCTTAGATGCAAGGATGAACCTTATGATATTGTTGCTAGAAGCTTGACTTGTTCCTTGTTAAATTTGTTTTCGGTCCTGCCATCAGAACCCAAGATATCACCGTCAATGCTGGTCAGAAGTTGTCATGGCATCAATCTTGGCCCGGAAATTCCGGAAGATTTCAGCCTTCTGCTCAGGAGTCCTAGTTGAATGGGGAACATCTACACCCTTTTGAACAGCAGCACGCCTATCAATCTCCTCGACCCACTTCTTCAAAGCGGGGAACTCAGACAGGTCAATCTCCAAGGAGACAGGAGCACCACGAACCCAAGAGAAACTCGCAATATCGGCAATGGTATACTTCTCACCGGCCAGGTAAGGGCTTTCCTTCAACCGCGACTCGAGAACCGAGTAGAGACGCCTTGTTTCGTTGATATACCGCTGAATAGCGTAATCGGAGCGCGTATTGGCGAAGAGACGGAAATGGTTCGCTTGTCCTGTTTGGTATTAGAGAGATCAAAGCACATGTTCAAGGTGGATTATCTGCACGCACCTTGCATAGGTCCCAGTCCAGCCATCTGGAACATCAACCACGATGTTTGTTCGACATGCTCGGGAGTGCCAGGAGCGTAACTAATTTTGCGGTCGGTGTCGTACTTATCAACTAGATATGTCATGATTGCTCCGCTCTCGAAAACCCGCTGCGAGCCATCGAGTAAAGCGGGGATGCGGCCATTGGGGTTAATCTTCAGGAACCATCTATTGAATGGGTTTAATCAGTATATTGTGAGACATCGTGCTGCGTAGTGGAGAGAGTTGTACTCTTGCTTTTGTGGATTTGAGCTGGAGCTGATATCAATTCCTTCGGTTTTGTAAGGCAGACCAAGCTCCTCGAGGGTGATGGAGGCTTTGATGCCATTCGGTGTCGGCCAGGTGTAAAGGGTAATGTTCGAAGCCATGGTAGAATAAGGGTAAAATCTTGGGAGTTGAGATGGTGGCAATACAGTCCTCAGTGCATGAGAGAACATCTGGAATAATGACAAGACCCAAGTAAATATAAGGAGCTGAGGATATTTATTTGTCAGCTCCCCGCAACATATCCGTGGATACCTAGGAGACAAAATGGCGTCATCCATGGATGTCATACGAGCTAGACTAAACATCAGCCGAAGTGCGGACTTCGGGAGGTCCATTTTGTTAGGATATGTGGTCACGTAAATGTTCAATTGGAGTGTAGGGAAAAGTATAGGAAATCGCTGAGGTTTGACATGACCGTAGGAATTGCTATGCAAGCTAGTAAACAGATGGAAAATTATTATGGACAATCTAACTACACAGAGTCCTCGATATTAGAAAAAAAATACTCTTACCATATTCATCCAATAGTTAATTTACTTCTAGTGTATAACATATCAGAAAGCTGCTTTTTATTCCATTCTACAATGTACGACCGACCATCCTAGAAGTACACCTAGAAAGATATCTAAAAAGGAAGTTAAAAAAGAAAGTAAAGTCGAATTATCGCTATAAGGTGTGTAATATCAACTTGAAGCAACTTGTGTAGACTCCAGGGCTTAATATTAGTCCAAGTCCTATAGGTTCCAAGGTGAAGTCCACGGGTGTACCTACCTAGATGGCTATTCACCTGGTGGTATGTA